ACGACCTGTATACTACTGCTACGCTTAAGACCTTCGACTCATACCATCTCCTTCTCACATCCAACCATCTATTGCATACATACGGGGCGCCCCTTCCGCCTGATCGCCGTGGTCGCAGACTGTTGTTACTCACCCCCCTTTCAGCTCTTGATCGTTGGATCTTCGGGCGGCAGTTTTAAATCAGGAATAAGAAAATATACACCCGATTTTCTGCACCTGTGTGGTATTTTTGATTGCAGAGTGGTGGGGTCCAAGCATTTTTCCCTATTTTATTTTATTGTATTTTATTTATTATTTTCCAACCCCCGCGACGCCTTATCTGTTGGGATATGCAAGGGAGTCCAGACTTCCCCGATCATCGATCTGGCCATCTATCTATATACATATACCCAGATACCCATTATTCACTGCTGCCACCTTCTCATCAGCAGTAACAACAACAACAACAACACCACCATTCACTCTTGTCAAAAGAGTATTTATCCCTTTGATTCCACCATCTCCTCTCCACTCTCCATACTCTTACACACGTCCACATACTCCTACCTCTTCGACTGCTTCCAACGCGACACCTTCTCCTTGGTATCACACCTGTTCCAATTCTACCAAGATACAGAGAAGGCACTCCAAACACACCGGAACAATGTATCCCTGCCTCGCTTTCAGTCACAACCAGTCCAGTATCAGGTCCACTCCGAGCGAAGCCAGCCCGACCCTCATCAACCATGTTTCCACCATCACTGACAGCTTTATGGGCGATGGCTACTTCAACTCCTTCGACTCGGAGGTTCCTAGAGCTCCTCCCCCATCTCTGGACAACGATACTCTACTCGATATTCATCCCCGCAAGACCTCCTTCTCTGATGTCCTTGGAATGAGCAGCGCCTGTGCTTTTCCCTCTTGGCCCAAGCGCCCCAGTCTGCTGAGCTCAGACTCGGAGGGATCCACTGCTTCTGCTTACCTCTCGGACGAGGACCTACTGTTCTCCAGTGGCCCTGCTTCCTCCTCAGAGTCCGCTATTGAAGAGGAATCCGCTGCTCAGGAACCGGCCATGGGCGCTCATTCCTTGACCACCGAACAACAGATCCAGATGGTGCGCGCTGCTGTCGAAGAAGAAGCTCACCGCGCCCGTTTCCTGGCTCAAGTTCAAGCACATGCGCGCGCTCAGCAAGCTCTCCGTGTAGCTCAGATGGCTGCAGCAGAAAAGGAGAACACAAAGAGCAAGAAGCGCAGAACTTTTTCGGACAGGAAGAGACGCGCGACATTGGTCAGGATCGTTTCCAGTCGTTCTTAGAGCATTGGGGGGTTTGTCATCGCATCTTTCTTACTTTTGTTACACCATAATCGTCATGATACTGCGATACCCCCACTGCTCGCCTTGGTCCACCCCACGTCTTTTCTTTACAGCTTGTTTCATCGGACTCCGGAGTTCTGGCATGTCAGCTGCATCGCCACTGCATAGCGCTTTCGATTCTTTCTTTATTTTCCCATTTTGAGCCTCCTTCAACAGCTATCGGCACTCCTATTCCTCGAACCGCAGCAAATGATAGCATCTGCCTGCTGTCAGATGCATAGTGGAAGGCACCTGCTCTGGACCTTTCTGGAAAGGATGAGCAAAGCGCGAGTCTCCGGCGATGACGCGAGAGAGGATATGCACGTGCATCACTCAGGGTCTCATGCGGCGACTTGGTTGGTTGGTGAGGTTTGCGCCGACGCAGGCGTACGGAATTCCAAGGCCGACTGGCCACGCCGTGATTTGCTGCCCGAAACGGGCGGTCTGATTACATAATTTCCCCCTCGCTGACGGCGCATTGCAACCAAAATCAAAAAATAGACCAACTGGTCATCCCCCTCCTTCTGCTGGCCGGTCTCCGCCCTGTTTCCCTTCCCTCGCCTGCTTATCGTCGTGGCGTTCTTTCGTCTGCAACACTGACAGGGGGTTCTTGCGCCACGGATCAGCCTATCAATCTTCACGATCTCACCGCCATTGTGCCAGGCGCCTTCGATCAAGTCATTGTACCTAATCACAATGACTCACCCGAGATGATGCTGTCGCAGTTGCTGTCCAGGCCTGATGGCCATCTCGAGTCTTCCCGGCCCGGTCTTATCTGCCTCCTTTTACATCACATTTTCTTTTCTCGTTGTTCTGATGCGTTGTCGCGATGGCGTTGGTGGGCATAGCCGGCGCTCTGTCCTCTCCATATTTCGGGCTTATTCTTTCTTCGTTTCTTCATCATCAGCGAGCATGAGACCCATCTGTCCTACCTTGTTTTTTAGCGTTTGATATCCTGTGTTTAGATACCCAGTCTTGTACTTTGGTCACATCCTGTTCTGGCGTCTCATACCCCGAGTCTGTTACATCACAGCTCTTGCGTTGCTTTCGTGTTCTGGTCGGATTTTGAAGCATATCTGCTAGCATAGCTTGCACCGCATGAGGTAGCATAGCATAGCATTGCAAATACTATTAATTCGGGTGCATATGTTTAATCTCTTCCATGCAAGTAGTTAGAATAATGTATTCGAGATACATACAATCCACTGTAACATTCACCTGGACAAGTACTCTTCCAACAAGTGCTCTAATCATTACTGTATTATGATGTCCTAAGATACAATTGAAGAAATCTATAGTACTCTACAGCCCCTTCCCAAGCAACTCCCCACCAACCTCCCTGATCAACCCCTCCTTCGCAAAAACCTGCATCTCCCCCTTGGCCTTCACCGTCTCCGCAATCCCCATCGCCCGACAAAGATCAACGACCGCCCCATCCGCCGGCGCCTCGTAGACCAGTAACCCCAGCGCAAACAAGAGCCCATGCAGGGCCTCCGCGCTCTCCGCTTCTTGGGCAATCGCTTCAACCAGCGACGCGGTGAGCTCGACCTGTTCCTCCTCAGTGAGTTTATCGGGGTGGCCGGCGAAGCGCGCGTTGTGGTTTGCGGCGGAGAGGTTGTAGGCTAAGGAAGCGGCGACGGTGCGGAGGTTCGGATGCGGGTCTAGGAGGGAGGAGGTTGTGAGGGTTAGGACTGTGGTGTGGAGGTTGTTGTTGTTGGCGGCGTTTGTGGTGAGATGGTCGAGGTAGAGTGGGGAGCTGAAGAGGTTGCAGATGAGCTGGAGCATGACGATGCGGAGGTTGTAGGGGCAGGAGGAGAGGTTTGTGGATGGGGACAGCAGGGTGAGGAGGGTGGTGTGGTTGGGTTCTTCGGCGAAGAAGCTTGATACCCTTGTGTCGAGGAAGAGGAGGCGGGCGAGGTCGACGAGCGCGAAGTGGTTCTCTGGAGGGAGGGCGTGGAAGGTGGACTGGAGGTAGGAGGCGAAGGTTGGGAGGGCGTCGGGAAGGGCGACGTCTGCTGCTGGGCTGGTGGGCGTGGTTGATGATGAGCGGGCGGTGATGAAGGCGATCATGGACCTGAGACGCGGGTCCTCGTGGTGCGGCTGGAGTTTCTGAACTAGTTTGTCTAGCGGAGGGACCTTCTTGTACATGACGAAGTTGGATAGATGACGCTGAAAGCTGGGGAGATGGAGTTGGCGATGGCGATGTGTCGGATGGGCCATCTCGATGAGTAGACGCACGTTGCCGCGCAGCTTGGCCGAGTCTGCACCGCTCCATTCGTCGAGTTTCTTGCCCTTTAGGAACGTCATAAAGGTCGGCGTCGCTCGTACCCCGTACTTCATGCTGACGTCGTAGGCGGCGCTGATGTCGACCTTGATGAGGACGGCCTTGTCACCTGCCTCCTCCGCCAGTTCATCGTAGGTAGGATAGACAACTTTGCAGGGTGGACATGTCGCTGAGGTGAAGAAGATGACTGCACACGATTTGACCGCTGATTCGAGCTGTTCCTCGAGCTGGCTGACGTTGCTGACCTGTCGTACAGTGCCAGGTCGCGCTGGCCCTGCAGCTGTGACTGGTGCCCTGGGAAGCGGCTGAGGAGCCGGCGCTGCAGCCTGCGTCACACCGCGCAATGCCTGTTCAATTTGCGGCTTCATCATCTGCCCAAAAGGGGTGCTCAAGAATGTCTGAGGCAAGTTTTGAATGTGCTCTGGGATGCTCTTTCCGACCAGGAACATTGCAAGATCCTGTGTGAAATTGTTGCAATTGTGCAAAAAGAGGTCATACGACTGTCGGTGACGCTTTAGCTTATGCCTAATGCGAGGGTGAGTAAGAGTGCCATACCTCTGGCGTATAAATCGACGCAAGCGACTGGATATACTCTTCGACCACGTCGATGGGGAGCTCGGTTTTCCCGAGAAGCAACCTCTCCATTGGCTGTCCGTGATGTGTACTGCCAGGGACAGATGTTTGAATTCCTTGGCCGAAGTAGTACTCGACCCCGTTGAGTACAATAGACGTGTGATATATCGCATCGATATAAGTTCCAGTCAATGCCAACGAATACTGCAATATGTCAGGACAACCACTGCTGGGTCTGGGAATGTGCGGTAAAGCCATACCATTCTTGCGAGCCCCTACAGAGCACATTAGTATATGCAAAAAAAGTACTTCGCAGATAATCCTACCTTGGAGAGGTCATAGACATAGAGCTCTACATCCATCTTGATGTGGATGAGGCAGGAACGAGTCCAGTCGAATCAAATGAAGACCTTACTTGACAACAACAACAACGGCCTGTATTCCAAGAGAAGATCAATAAAAAAAAACTATCTTAGATTTGTCAAAAGATTTGATGTGATCGACCGGCTGCATCTGCTACAAAAGTTGCAGGAAATACAGGCACCAATTGGATCACGTCAGCCGATCTCCGTCACGAGGATTCCGTCATGTTCGATCAGATACTATCCTACTGGCATGTGTCTAGAATGCTATCTTATCATGCAGAAAGCCTTTGATTATCGAAACCCAAAACCGCAATTGCTGGAAAGTGTCCCATGAGGCCCCTGACAAAAAGCCCCTGGTAGAAACTCTGTAGATCTTATCGCGAAGCTATCACCCATGGACCACTCGGAGATCATTCCTTCTCCGCACCCACATCTCTTCCTTTGAAGACAACATCTCCAAGTCAACTGCGCCATACTCTGCACTTCAACCCTGCGACATGGTATGTTCCCACCTTTCTTCTCTTTTCCATCACCAGCGCCACTAATTCACCATCCTTCAGCCCCAAAGAAGCGCAGCGCCCCCGCCACCTCATCAGCCCCAAAGAAAGCACGCCAATCCAAACTCGCCAAAGAAAACGACATCAGCGCCGAAGAAGAAAGCGAGATCAAAGAAGTCTTCCATCTCTTCTCAACCACAGCCGAAGAATTTTCCAATGAAAAAGAAGGCGTTATTCCCCGCGAGGACGTGCGCAAAGCGCTCGTGTAGGTCCTGCCCATTTATCTACAACTCCAAACCCAGCGTGGAACGCGGTATTGACGGAACGCAAAAGAGCGCTAGGTCTCCCTCCTTCCGACTCAAGCGAGCTCCACTCGATTCTCTCCGCGGTCGATCCAACGAATACCGGCTTCGTCCCGTATGCGCCATTTGTGTCAGTCGCGGCGGCGAAATTGAGGTCGCGGTCTGATGAGGCGATGTCCGCAGAGGTGGATGCGGCGTTTCAGCTTTTCACGAAAGGAACAGATGGGCCGATTACATTGGGGCATCTGAGGCGCATTGCGCGCGAGCTGAAAGAGGATAACCTCGGTGATGACTTACTCAGGGATATGATTCTTGAGGCGAATGGTGGCGCCGGACTTAACGCCGGAGTTACGCTGGAACAGTTTCATGATGTTATGACTCGGGCTGGGGTCTTTTGATCGCGCTTTGTTCCATTATCTTCTTTTTGGGTGGGTTAAAGGCGTTCGAGGTGGTGTACAGTTTTAGCGGGTGCCTAGGTTGGGGGTCTCATGTTTATGTCTTGTCGCATCTTGTTACACATACTGAGCTAGGTTTCATCTGGTGCTCTTCTGCTTTCATCAGACTACATATCAAGCTGTACCGACTCGACGTTGTCGGAATACAAGTACATTCCGAGGTCAAGGTGTCAGTATGGGAATGCGACATATAGCATAATTTGTAAAATCTTTCCATCACAATCCGATGTGGTGTAATGGCTAACATCGCTGTCTCTCACACAGCAGCTCGGGGTTCGATTCCCCGCATCGGAATAACTTTTTGCACATAGTCGAAAGACATTAACCGTTTTGACAAGAATCCAAATTTTTTTCAGCGGGATATATATGCATGGTATTACTTGCTCTTATTTTGATAGGTTTTTGAATTATACTAGAACAAGTTTCGCTTTCAGAACAAAGCTCGGGAGAAGAACGACCATCCATGAACGCCTAAAACATGCGCAGTTGGGGTATCATTATAAACAGTATACATAATTCGGAAAGTGTTGGTTTAGGCCGTAGTTAAGGCGTAACCTCAACAGAAGATTTGCCCAGTGAACTTGCATGATCATCAGTCAGAAGCTGAAGCTTGTCAAGGGGCACATCGAATCTGTCTGTAGCGGATACGCTTGTCGCCGGGGAGGTATCAGGAGAACCGTCGGTGATCGTGGACGTCGTAGACATATCGTTTGATGTTGCGACATTGCATACGGACTCGAGTTTCTTGCCCTCCACTGCGTATGTTCCCTCAGTCCGAGTATATTCTGAGCGCTGCCGATCGACGGCTTCGTAAAACAGCATAAAAGCACCACCCTGAGACATCACGCTTGCCTCACTGACCATTTGTACATCGTCGTCACTGAGTCGGAACCACCGTTCAGCCTTGTCCTTCTCACCATCCGCCTCCAGCACGGTGTCTGGAACGTGGGCCGGGAAAAGATCAGACGGGTATTTCCTGTAGCAGATATAATGTCCATTCTCGTGGCGGCCATAGTGCGTAACCACCGCCCGCAACTCGAAGAAGCGGCCGGAGACATCGGAAGCCGACCCAGCTTCAGGGAGCATAGACTCCCTAGGGTCGGTACCCCATCTTTCGGTGTCCATCTGACCCCAACTGGATGACTTTGTCCCCAGACACCATTCATTCAAGTCAAGTACATTGGGAAACCTGACGGCAGCATAATTCTTCCTGAGCATCCCTGTATTCTCATCAAACATGCTTCGGTTGATATGTATCACAAGGCATTTCGGCGTTCTCGCGATTACCGCCTGTCTTGATTTGGTCGACGTGACGCGGTTCTTCGACGGAATATGACACTTCTTCGACAAGGTCTTTTCCGCAAAATCATCCTCTTCTAGTGCTTCCTCAACAGCCCGCAATCGCTCTTCAGCGGAGGTCCGGAGCGCTCCTGAGACTTTTGAGGAGTCAGGTGTATCTGGCAGCTTCATGTCTTCTTCGATCTGTTTAAGAAGATTTTCTAGCTGGTCCTTGGCGCGTAAAAGGGTGCACTTTGCACATTCCACACCTTCGATGGGCTCGAGGTGCATATACTGATCAAGGCATTGCCGTACGTCGTATTCGTGTTGCCCCCAAGTGGCACCGTAAGGCAGTTGAACGGAATGAGGGAAAGACCCTCGGTCCAGCCGCATTTCATGCAACCTACTCTTTGCGCAAGAAGGCCCTCTAGAGGGTTGCGCGTCGGGTGCCGTTCAGTTGCACAAGGAGATGGAACGTCTGCGTCATCCGCATCTGTATGTGAAGCTTCTGCCCCGATGATGTTCTCGACCGGCCCTGCCATTTTCAACCCCAAATTCCTCGTCCGGCGTTTCGTAGCCTGTTGCACCTCGTGATCGACCTGGCCCACAACTTTCGAAAAATATTCCTGCGCATCCTGCTGCTGCCAACTGCTCATCGACTTGAGCTCCGCCGGAATCCACAGCCGCTGATCATGATTATCAGCACTGTTTAATCGCTCGATGACGCCTTTGAGAGCCTGATGAGTCGAAAAGGATCCTTTATCCCCTAATGTCCGGATGTTGCGCTCCAAGAACTCCGCAAGCGAGCGCAGAGATGCTAGACCCTGAATGATGCTATTCTGGTAGCATGAATTGTCCCAGTTTCCGAGTCCCGGGGGCAGATTGTCCTTGGCGCCGAGTAACGCTGTACCGAATCCTGAAAAGGTCGTAGAACAGGGAAGAAAGGAGGAGAGGGAGGAGTTGTTGAGTCCAAGGATACGTTGCATTGCTTCGCTCTTCGCTTGAAAGTTCATGGAAAGAAGGTCCTTGTCAGTTGAATCTAGGTTCGATGTCTTCGAATCCAGGGCAACAACTATTCGAGACGGTGTCAAATAGACTATGAGGTTCCACAGAGCTCGTGGTATCGAAATCGGCGCAACTCCGAGGTAATTTAAGACAAAATAAGCCAAAAGGCCAGCCGCAACTCCGTAGGTCAGAGTGTTATTATTACTCTGCAACTGCTGCAGAAACGTCTCATGCTGACTATTTTGAGGGTTGTGGAAAGGACTCTGAGCGAGGAAGTCGAATCCCCCTCTTCGAGCATTCATGGCTAACCAGAAGTAAAAAACGACGACAGCATAGAGTCTTTTGGAGCATCAAATGAGAGCGGAAGGTTAAAGAAGATGGTGTTGCATCTGTATGGAACAAGGATTGTCTTTCGCCAGCTCGCGTCAGCCTTTCGAAAAGAAGCCGCGGGCTGCGGTTGCGGTCTCTGTCGGTCACCGGAACTTTTCTTCCTATCGATAAGCGGCTTCTCCACCCACATCAACAACTTTGTCCTGACTATTTTTTCATTTCTCATTTCGAGTATCTTAAACACAAAATGGCCAAAGCGAGACGTAAGTTTTCTACGAAGTAACTACGAGCGAAAGTACGATTTGATGCTAACGTCACTCTGAATTATAGCCAAGTCGATACATTCTCGCGCTGCTCGGCGGGCGGCTTCCCCAAGTCTCGATGTCGACAAGTCGTTGACTTCACTGCCACGAGCCGAAAACACTGTCATACAGCGAGAATCTGTTCTGAACGAACGCGCCAATGCTGGGGTGTCGAAAAAATCAAAGGCCAAGGCCAAAACAAGAGCACAGCGCATGAGACAACAAACGGCCATTGAAAGAGCTGAAATTGTCTACTCTCGGCTGGAGAAGAAGGTGGCCAAGAGTGTCTCCCGGGGTAAAACGGTCAAAGCACGCAGGGTATGAAGGTTTCTTGTCTATGTCTGTGAGAATGCTAACGCTGACATGTGTCGTTCAGTCTGACTGGGAATCTTTAAATCGCAATGTATCTGGGTCCATGTTCGAAGCTCTTCAAGAGCAGGATGATGATACCCATCTCGATGATGCTATGGTCGATGTTGCTGGTGCGCCGGCAACCAAAAAGCGGACATCAAAGCCGGCGGAGGTCACGCAGAACCCTGTGGCAAATGAGCATGCCGACATCGACGTTGATGATGACATTACTTGAGATTCTCGATGGAATAAGACAATGAATATCTCGAGTCAGCTATCTTCTTGGTCTGAGCTGATTGATCATTCGCTCAATTTCAGCAACGGCTGGTCCCGAAGCTTTTGCCCGAAGGAGTTCAAGAGTATTGACGTCTTTTGCTCTGTGGGCTTCCTCTCCGGCTTTTACGATCATTCCACATTTCACCCACATCTCGATCCTCTCCTCGACGGGCAGGTTGGTGCATTTCGAAATAAATAGCGAAGCTAGCTTGGTGTTGCCAGCACCTAGGACTTCATTATAGAAAGGCTATCACGCTGTATGTGAGTATGTGTTTTTATCAGGACGTGGGTAGTGCTCAATGAAATATCAGGATGTGGGGAGTGTTCAATGAGATATTAGGATATGGGTAGTGTTTTACTTACCTCCCACCCAATCGGGGATTTCTTCTTGGCCATCTCTTCCAATTCACCCCAGTCTCTCTTAGCGACCAGGGCTCTTAATCGCAACCACCAATAAGTCTTCTCCGGCATCCTGAACTCGCTCTGAATCTTATGCGCTCGTTTTCCGTAGCCCGATTTGATCAGTCTGTAGATGGTATCATTCAAGCTGAGGCCGACAAACTCTGAGCGATCTGCAATGTCTTTGTCCAAAGCCTCTTGGACCTTGAGTAATTGTGACGCTTCAGAGAGCAGTTTCTGCTGTAGAACCGCTTTTGCATCCTTAGAATCCGATAAGAGCTTCGATGCGAGAAGGAGTTTCTCAGTTTTATGCGGTAAGTCTGTCGCATTCAGTGCCTCCGATAGGACGACATTTGACCCATCGATAGGGCGGTCATCCTGGTAGAATAGATCTTTCAGTAACTCTGTATCTTCCCCTCGAGCATTCGCTTCGACCAATGCCGAGGCAACGGGCCGGGTGTTGATCATCCTAAAGAAGCTGGCGAGAGGGAGTTTGCTCTTCAAGTGCAAGAGTACATAGATGACAAGATCATCATCTCCACTCTCGATCGCCTTGTCCAGGGCGACTTCGTCTTCTTCCATCTTCAGCAGCAGCGGAACTTGCTTACCACCCCGCGGTTCGTGATTCAGAAGCTGTGTGGCCAGGTGAGCGCGTCCTTCGTCGTATGCAGCTTGAGCAATCTGCTCGAAGGATATTCCGGGCTTGCCTTCCAATTTCTGCACAATGAGTTTGCAAACGGCTTCGTCGTCGACTGTGGACACCTTGACCTTCTGGCTGGCCCAGTGAACATAGATCTTGTCCGCTGGAATCTGAAGATATTCGGATATTCGGATGGAAAGCAGATATTCATGGCGGTTAACCAGACGCTCGATGAGCTTCTCCGGTGTGAGTCGCAGATATTGCTCATAAGAAATAGGCAGCCCTATTTGGTAGTCCCTCACTGCTTTCAGCACTCGAAGTTTCTCCGTCATTTCGACGAACTCATCGCTGTTGTACAGATCCAAGACAGACTTCCCATACGAAGCAGCTTTCAGCAGCCTCTTCTGCCAGTAGACATCAAATTCATGACCCGCAGCCTTGACACAGATATCTACCGCTTCTGGTAAACTGGAGCGAATGCGTTGTATGTTTTCATCAGCCTTGGGCGACTTTTTCTCCAAGAGATCTACCGAATCCAGAAGGACCGAAGCTGGGCTTGTGGAACCAAGCCTGAAGATGGCTTCAGTGACATCTGTACCGAGCCTACTTGTTAGCCGTCGCTATGCCGCAAATCGTGCTCCCCTTACCTATAACTTTGTGTAAGAACTCGCAGTTATCGTTCGTAATCAATCGGACTCCATCACATTCGGGTATCACATGCACAGTGCCATCGTAGTAATACCTTCACATGGTAAGTTTCTGCAGACAGGGAGATCAAAGAAGATGACTCACTTAGCAGCAGCGCCGTTGGGACCGATGAGATGTATCTCATCCTCCCATGCAATGACAACAGCGTCATCACCACACCAGTCGACGGTACGAGGAGTCACTCGAGATTGTGGGTCATATTCGGTGTGTTTACTCTGAAAATCACTGCTCACTACCCAGACCTGCCCCTCGGCGGTGTAAAGGGCCACGAATCGACCAGTAGGTGATACGCTTGCATGTTTGAATGGTCCATTCTGAAGCACTTTGTCTTCTGCTTCTGAAGAATCAACCAAGAATATAGTCTTGTCGACTGCCAGTAGCACCTCTACTGAACGAGAAAGAGTATATGGTGGCGGAATCAAAGACCAAGAAGAAACTTCTCCTTCTGGACACGGCGCTAGCAGCTTGGGTCGCGGCTCATCATAGTTTGAGACAGCAATCAGTTGGTTATTTGAGAGCAGAGCGACAAAGCCGTTATTCCAGAACTTGCATGCTCTTACGCCATATTCTTCAGCTCCCTGCCAGATAAGTTTAGCATTCATGGCTCTGCTATATACTTAAACTGACTCACATTTCCTAGAGAAAAGGATGTAAAGTCGCCATACAAGCCGAAATATCTGCGGACTGTTCCGTCTTCTGTGATGACTAGCAACTCTTCTTTTTCGGACCAGCCGAGCCCTCGAATCGTCCCATGTTCCCACTACAGGATTAGCATGAGTACGTCAACATCGCAGGCTTTAGCTTTGCCTGATTATATGGCAGGAAGCTTACATTGATGCGATTTATGTGCTTTCCAGAGCACGAACAGATGTCAATGCTTGATCTAGCTGTATGTGCATCACGAAACATGTACGGCTTGCTTTCGTCCCGATGAAGTGCTATTCATCTCATCAGCCATTGAGACAGATAATAATCACGCTTGTAACATACCAATAGCTCCTCCATATGGGGCGCCGGCGACAATGTAGTTGTCCAAGTCCACATCCTCGTCAAAGATAGCGTCATACACGGAGACTTTCCTGTAAAAACTGTCCCCTAGTCGCGCCCAATTCGCAAGAGGATTTGACGGCGCCATTAATTGTGCTTATTTATATTCATTGATGAAAGATACACAGTGCAGAGACACGTATCAGTCCAATGCGGTAGTGAGCTTGGACTGATTGACCGCGGTCTGTTGCCTTCCTATCCGAAGGTCGACATGGGGTCCTGCTCCTGCGCTAATCCCGATCTGGTCAAACTATACCTTAGGCATCATTACGTGCCATTACGCCTTGTTACCTAGCTTTCATCAAACAGTCATCCATTTCGCTTCGAGTAGCGTCAACACCATGGCCCAGGAGCAATCGTCATGAATGATAAAGGAGACATAAGCGATCTTGTCTCGGATCTTTCAGATCTTGAAGTCGCGCTTCTACTATCTCTTGCTGCTCATGAACATTGTCTAATTGAGACAACAAATGACTGCATCCATGACGTTGCGAAAGAACTGGCCCTGGTAATTTTGTACACTGATTGTTCGCTCCTTCCTCAACAAGCTTCTAATACCTTTATAGATATGCTCGAGTGTCTTCGGCCGCACGTGCAAAATTCTGGAATGCTCGTCAGCTACCTCCTTTGAGGATTTTTACTCCGAAGTTCTACTGTCGGACGTATCCAAGGCGAATGCGCCCTACTCACGCCTGCGTAAGGGGGCTGAATCTGTATGGTGATAGCCACAGACTTGACTACACGACTAGGACTAACCATTCTAGTTGTCAACCCATCACAATACCACGGAGGCAAGAGATCGTACGAGGTCTCCTGGTTTCCGCAATGTCTTTGGGGACAAGAAAGTCGTCGACGTCGTTATCGCCAAGAACTTCAATTATGTTGATGGGGTTGTACAACTTCATGCGTTGGAGGTAGGATTTCTGAATCATCACCACGATACTTGGCTGAACCATCGACAGTTGATGCGCTCCAAACGGTTGAATACAAATCATGGGCCAATAGAGGCTCCGCCTGACTTCCTCTTCGTCCCTCTTGTGGTGCGCGGCTCGGACCAGCTTAATCCTCGCTTGAATCATCACCTGGTGCGCGCCTTTGTTTGTGCAATAGATGTCTGTTCACTGACCTCCAACCAGAACGACCACCTCATCCTCTCTCACTTTCATGATCCTACGGACGGCTATGTTCATCTGGAAGAAAATACCGACTGGCTCTCAGATGGACAATTGTCAGCCTCGTCTGTAGTCCGTAAATCGGATGCTCAGCTAAAGAATCAGAGTCTAGCGGTTGACCAAAAAGTATGGTGTCCTTCTACCTCTGGACTGGCCGCCTGCTAATGAATTGGGTTAAAGTTACTGGACCAAATACAACAGCTAAGCACCTCCGTCTCAGTTGGCGCAGACATAATACGGTATCAGCAAGATATTGTTGTATTCTTGCGACTAAGCCGCGCTGTTGCTGGGGCATCACAGCACGATCAAACATGCAATTTACGAAACTCTCAAAGTATGTCCAGCTAATCTGTTTCCCTAAAGAATGCACCTAATTATCCCTGGCAGATTACTCGCAACATTACACGGGATTGACTATTTGACTCCCTCGATTGTGGCTTTGGCGGCAAGGAAAGCCTTTCGCCATCGAATTGTCCTAGCAGAACCTGAAGATGACAGAAGTTTGCAATACGGGAGCGACATACAGGCCGTGACTAAAGTCCTTTCTCAAGCCAGTCCGGATTCCATACTGGACGGTGTTCTGGCACTGGAGCCTCCGTTATGAATCGACAAATAATTGATACAGCTCACGAGGACTGTGTCGCAGGGGCCTTCGCCAAACTTTCGGCCATGGCAATGCCTGCAGCTCGTCCTGAGAAAATGCAGCCCCCAGAAACGTGCCTTCAAGGGAATTGTAGCCATGCACACCTCCACCTCCAAAACCTGCAACTTCACCAGCAGCGTACAGGTTCGTGAAGCGAGTCCCGTCCTGACGAATAACATTCGCGCTCAGGTCTGTCTCTAGTCCACCGAGGGTCTTTCTGGTGAGGAGGTTCATTCTGACGGCAATCAAGGGTCCGTGGCTCGGCTCTAAGAGCTTGTGAGGTTTGACAACTCTGCTGAATTTATCAGGCCAGAAGTTGCGGGCATTCTGGATTAGCATCAACTGCGCGTCTTTGCTGTAGCTGTTATCTACCTGTGCATCACGGAGCTGAATTTCCCGTTTAACTTGGTCCATATCCAGAGGAGGACCTCCATGTTTCTGTCCGAGGTCGTCCATTCTCTCAAGTAGATCATTCAGAGACGTCGCCACGATGAAATCTTCTCCATTCTTCATAAAGGCCTGTACAGGGCCCGTGCCGTTGGAACCGAATATCCGCTGAAGCAGAAGGAGGATACTTTTCCCGGTAATATCCGGGTTCTGTTCTGACCCAGAGAGGGCGAATTCACGGGCGATGATGCTTTTGTTCAAGACAAACCAGGTATAATCATATCCCGTCGAGCATATATGCCGTAGAGTAGCAAGCGTATCGCAGCCTGGATACAAAAACGGAGGCAACCGCTTTCCCGTAGCATCAAGCCAGAGAGACGATGGTCCAGGAATGACTCGAATCCCATGCTTGGGCCAGATCGGGTTCCAGTTGGTCAATCCCTCAGTGTAATGCCACATCCGGTCGCTGTTGACCACACTGGCTCCGGCTTTCTGGGAGATATCGATCATGCGCCCATCAACATGCGCAGGAACCCCCAGCACGAAAGACTGCGGCACCTTGGGACCCAGCCGATCCACCGGCCAGTATTTCTTCACCAAATCCAAGTTCCCGCCAATGCCACCTGAGGAGACAAGCACCGCAGCGCCCCGAAGCTCAAAGGTACCAACGCTCTTCCGCGAAGAAGCAACGCCTCGCTCTACGTCTGTCGGCTCCAGCACCTGCCCACGAACACCCACTGCAGCTCCTGTCTCCCCATCAACGATGATTTCATCAACCTGATGCCGGAATCGAATCTCAACCAGCCCTTTCTTCGCCGCTTCTTTCACAGGACCAGCGAACGCCTCGACGATCGCCGGCCCCGTTCCCCATGTGAGATGGAATCGCGGAACAGAGTTGCCATGGCCGCCAGCCTGCCCACTGCCCCGTTCAGCCCAGCCCACACTAACGAACCGCACGCCCAATGCGCTGAGGTAAGACTCCATCTGATCTGTCGCAAAGTTCACGAATGCTTCCGCCCATTTTCTGGGCCAATGGTCCGTTTCGCGGTCGAATGCTGCGCTGCTGAACCAATCCTCCATGGCCAGTTCTCGACTGTCGCGGATGCCGAGTCGGCGCTGGTTACTTGAGTTTACGCAGAAGATTCCTCCCAGGGACCAGAATGCTTGTCCGCCGAGGTTGGCTTCGTTTTCCTGGTCGACGATGATGGACCGGATATTGCGGTTGGAGAGCTCGTAGGCCGCTACAAGGCCTGCTAGGCCGGCGCCTACTATGACAACGGGCTGGTCATTCGTTGTCATTGTGTTTGGAGTGTATATCTCGGAGTTTAAGATGTCTTTGGAAGCATGAGTCTGGTTGTTCATGCATATATAATTGCGTGCTGACGTTGCCCACTTGCCAGGATCTTGCGCCTACCGAGGTACTTGCGCCAATCAATGTTTCACCAGCCTGTGAAGAACGACGGGCGGAGGTCATCCTTAGAAGAAACCATGCAGTCGTCCGTCCGCTCTGAGCGCGGCTTCTCTCGTTGGTGGAAACTTAACATCCCTCTCGCGTACGCTACCTCTTCCAGCGGCGCGTAAAGTGGTTGTGTCATCCGATCCACCCGTTCGAGTACCCCATGCCCCATCGGTGGGACGTTTTGATATATGTTCCAATCACACGATCCAGAATGACTGCAGACGACTGGAGTATCCGATCATGGATGTTGTGGACCTCGGAACCAGCCGAGACGGTACCACATCAAATACTGACGCTGCAAGACAACACACATGCTGTCTCCAGAGAGAAGCCTAGCTGCTACATCATGGATACAGATACTAATCAAATTGCGACTGTGTCTACCCTCAGAGGAGGATCCATCATGTGAGGAATCTAAATCTCGGCGCGTTGCGCATCATAGAATCATGTTTATGACATACAAGTGTACAGAGCAACATGTGGACAACAAGGTATTGCAGGGTATGTGGAGGGGCAGTAATCACTGCCTTGATACTCTCCGGGCAGCCCTCAAGAACATATCAGGAGGCGCAAAGCTAGCTTTCCTTTCCTCGGTAACGCCATTCCCAACCACAGGTGGATGATTTGCCTGAACGGAAGCCATAAGCTTCCGCCACTCTGAAAGCACAGCACCGACTTCGGTTTTGGCATCTCCAACTATGGCATCCATCTTGATGTCATTGCGGTCATATCCGAAGGGATCTTCGAGTTGACAGCCAATGCCCTCGATGCCGTATAACGTGAAGATCACAAGACTGACTATCGGGACCGCCCACCATCTCATGTCATCGACCATGGCGAATGGGAGCACACATCCAAACAGCGCGAGGACTTGCTTTTGATGGATTCTACTCGTGCGATCAGCATCATGCAAGCGATTTCAACAAGATCAAGAGAATACTCACAAATGGGCGATAGGTATTGGAGTCAATTTGATTGTTTCCATCCTCCCATACGCATCTGTCAACGAGTTCAGCTGGGCTTGCATCTGACTCGCCCCAGGAGCATTGAACCACCCCCGTTCCACGCCCCGTTTGATAAACCCATCCACAAAGAAGGTCAACTGGAAAGGTAGACCCAGCCCGTCGTGCTCATGACCCTCCAGACCCACGGGTAGGAGACTCTCGTAGTCCGGGTCATACACCGCGGTACCATTCTCATTGACATCGCTCCCCAAAGCCCATGCCGCGCCCCATTCATCACGAAGGTGGTTCTTCACAGCATAGGGAATCGCCATGAGCACACGGATCGTCCGCTCGATGTCCTGCTGTTCAGCAGGGGTGGGAGGGCCGCGCTCACTGTAGCTGTTCGTGACAACCGTACGGACGAGATTGCGTACACACGTGGTGATTGTATTCATGCCATTGCGACCGTCCCAGAATCTATTGTAGGATGTCTGATTGCGGAACACGAGCATCAAACCCACGACAATAGACAGAGACGGGATCTAGAGCTATTATCAGCAAAACACACAAACAGCCGCGACTCCTGAGACTATCATAACATACAATGCTATTCGGCAGACCGACTGTATCAAAAACATACTCGTCAAGGTAGACGACGAACGCCGTAAACAGCGCGTGCAGGCACACTGGCACTAGAATCGCACCGTGGATCGCACCCTTGATGAACCGGAAAACTAACGGCCATCTAAACAACTTAATATCGACCACCCGCAAATAGAAAAGAATGCAATGAAAGAATACATACCTCCTCGGCTTCCTCCGACTCGACAGTAAATGCGGATGCGTCCCCTTCCGATGATGATGCGCGCCCTCGCGTCGAAAGCTAAACGTAGTGCCGTTCTGGCGCTCCAGCGTCGGAGAGGGAGGGTCGCTCGTACTGACTCTCATCTTTGTCCTGATATCTCCCACCGAAAACAAAATCGTTGACCACTGCAAGGATTGTTTATCAAAACAAACAGGTAAACATGAGGATAATTAGCGGGCAGGAGGGGCGGCCGTTTCAGACAATCTAGCGGTCAACGAAGTTTGAACAGACTCAGAACTACGGATACACGAGTCTAAATCTGGCAAGCCCAGAGTTTACTAGTCTGCTATTGCGGCTCAATTGAATTATAATTTGTGAGGTGACGAGAACGATGCTTATATAGATGGTTGGGGATTTCACCTCGTCATGGCGAAGGTGTGTTTAGAGTAATGATCGTCAGTACATTCGAGATGGAGGAGTGGCAGCCCTTAATCAAGCACAGACAGGGGCGATCTGAATCTAAGAGCCAACTGGCCAGGCGGGGTATACACCACTGCAACGGACCAAAGATGACGTCTAACAGAGGGCGTGCGTCTTGTTGATGAAGAAAGAGGAAAGGCTACTGGTTGCACAGTTAATGACTGAGAACCTGTCTGCAGTGCGGCCCAGGCAAACTACCTACTAATCATACCTGAACCTGCATATGTCCATGCTCGACGCTAAGCGAGGGTAGTTGATATGAGTAAAGCCAAGTTATCCAACCTGCAATACAAACACCAAACTTGGACACGGTCGTCGAATATAGTTCTGAAAGCGAGAAAAGGATGCCAACGCCTAAGCCGGGCATGGAGATACATGGTTCGAAGAACTTGTCACAATGCGGAAACGCTGGATGTTATGATCAAAATGCAATGCGCTAGATAGATCCAATCATCTCGACCAAAGACCGAAGCCGGGATGATGTGGGCGAGTACAAAAATGCAAAAAGAAAAAAACAGACGGGGTGCAACGATGGGGTATATGTAGGCGGCTGATGACGTGTCTCGAAAAGGTGAATAAGAGCAGGGCAATAGCGAGACAGCAGCATAGGAAATAACCGGCGACACAAAAACTCCTGCAGAGAAAGAGATTGATTTGAACAGAATAAGAAATGGCCCCTCATATGTAGAGGTGCAAGTTTGGAAGATGTCCAAGCTGATCTGTTCAACATGGGCATTCCTCGGCAATCATGGCATGCCAGCTCTGCCATCAAAGGCCAGAGGCCCTGAATCGTTTCTAGGCGTCAGCGGGTTGTCATCGGACGACTCGGAGCGGAAAGGTGTGTCAGAGCGCGCCTGTCTAATCGCGACGGGGTGGGATGGAAGAACGGAGGCATCGGAACCTGTTGTGGGAGCAGAAGTAATGTTGCTCGCAGCCGGCTCAGGAGAGGCGGATGTCACGTTCGGAGTCCGCTCTGCCTCTGCTTCGGACGTAGAAGGAGAATCGTCCTGAAGCCGCATGTTCTCGATGTTATCGGCTAGTCCTTCCTCAGCGGGTACGTCACTTGTTCGACGATTGCTTTCCGTGCGCTCTTGCGTAGGAGCTGCTGCCGGATCAGATTCCGCTGAGGGTTCTTGGCTTCCAGATGAAGCCCCTGCTGCTGACGTCTGCGCAGGCTCCTGGATATCATCCTTCTCCTTGCCAGTATCCAAATCGTTCGCGTCGTTGGAATCGTCCACCTCGGCGCTCAAGTCTGTGTATGCACGACAGTTGGGACACTGGAACATCGGGTACTCGGGAGTATGTATAAGACGGCTGATGCATTTGTAATGCCATACATGGGCACAAGCCGCCATGAACAAGCACTGGTAAGGTCGCTGTAAGTCAAGTCAGTCGTCAGTCGTTTCACGAATATCATTTTCCAGTGAATAATACTAACCAGGACCGAGCCGAGGCAGATTGAGCACTCGCGACAACCTGAATAATCTGCGGTTTCCCCTTTGCCAAGGTTCCTGATAAGGCTTGCAGTGTTTTTGCTAAAGAATCTGTCAGCTTCACCATCCCTGAACATATTTCTGCCGATCAAGGAGATCTCCCGTACTTGAACTCATTGGGTTGTTGCTGCCAGGAACGGTTGCACTCTATGCGAATCCGCACGCATCGAAAGATCATCTCCTCGCCGCCTCTAAAATCGATACCGAGTTGTACGATGTCGCCATCCTTGATAGTGTAGAGCCTCGACACCATATTGGGCTGGCTCAACCTCATGTGATTCAAGAAGGTCCCAGAAGAGCTCCCCACATCCTTGATATGCCACTGCCCATTTATATAAAGGAACTCGCAATGCTTCCGACTCACAACTTTTGACTTGAATCCGACAGGGGCATCCGAAGGTTCGGTAGGATTAGCCACAGGCATACCATCGCGCTCCGAGTATCGGCCGACACGGATTACACTACTTTCCGATGGGAGAGTTCGCGAAATAGGAATGAAGTGCAAGGACGGCCTGGAGCTTTGGCTGGAATCTTGATGGGGAAAGAAGCGGATGGTGGCCTTTCCCTTCGGGCCAGGAGACGAGGAATTTTGTCTCGCCGTCGAATTTGCTGATTCAGAAGTGTTTGTGGTGGGATTTGCTGAGGCCGATGAGCTCGATGCTCGCGGGTCGTCTCGTGCATTCGGGGCCCCTGACGAAGCACCTGAACGCGCCATCGCCTCGACTGAATTTTCACCGCCGGAGTCGTTCGAAGGGGTCGACTGTGACGAGTCTGTTGTGAGGTCACGGGTTTCCAAATCTACGTCAATAGCGCGGTAGCTAGGAAAGAAGGCGGAACTATAACGAGCGAGAGCAGATTGATCGCTTGTTGGGCATGGAGCTGGATTGGAGGTCCCCGCTGAAGGGAGAGACGAAGACTCCGGACTAGTCGACGAGGCAGAAGGAGAAAACCAAGAGACACGACTGCTGAAGGTATGTCGACGAGAAGAGCGCTGGGAATTTGCAGAAGAGGAAGAGGTATGAGGCGAAAAATGATTCTGAGTGTAGGCTCGCAGTAGGCTTAGTCGTCGGCGGGGCCCAGAGCGAGAATCGGCTGGGAAGTTGGCGGTGGAGGTGGAGGCGGAGACGGTTGAAGCAGACATGTAGGGCAGGGGCAGTAGGCAGATGGAATAAAACACAGTAGTGCCAGACCAAACAAATCCTGCTTAGAGAAGCTCTCTCACCCAGTTAATGAAACGGTAGAAAATATGTTCTTAGATGTCAGGAAAAAATATGATGGTAGTATGGTATCGCGTCAAAGGTGACAATGTGGGAAGGCATATAAAATGGTTCGGTCGGGAAGAGAAGATAGCTGTTATACTAGGCGCATTGCAACTCGGGAACTGTTCGCACAAAAGTGAGCTGGAGCGACGATGATATCGGGTAAGATATTAGGGGATTGAGAGAAATCAATCACCAAAGGGAGGGATGAGAGAAAGAAAAGAGAATTTGGAGCTTTTGCGCCGAAGAAGACGGTGGCCAACCATGCGAGCCGTTCAAGGACCGTCCGATGGTAAGATCTCCAGTGGGGCGAGAATGTAAGTAGACTAAGGAGTGGTAAGTTGGCGGACTACAGCACCTATACGGGTAGGTAAGGTAGTCTAGGTGATTTGACTACTTGACGGCCAAAAGAACAGACTACTAATGCATGAACAGAATGGCAATTACTACAGACTACTAACTTGGTGTGACCTTGTCAACTCATCGGGGAGAATCCGCTCTAGAATTGATTTCATTTCATCTCCTGCTCTTCTGACCCCTTTTAAGACTTAAAGACTTGTAGGGATAAGGTACTAGCTTGGAGAGGCGATACTTTATTCGAATGGGGCCGCTGGTCAACATTCTTCCTTATAGAATCCTCCAATGACGCGGCCATTACAGGCAAAGAATTGACAATCGCCCTTACTGCAATTAGTATCTTGAATAATGTCCAATGTTCTCCGTAGACAGGCAATTGCTGTCGCGCGATTTCGCTTCCTCCTCCCCTCCCCTGGTCATGCCATGCGCAAAGATCCCTCTGGGGTTTTAGTGCGGTGTCTGGACTCTTAGCCTGCGGGGCAACCCAAAACATACTGCAGAGGGCAGACCTCCAGGATTTGCCTCGCAGGTGGTTGGCGGTTGCTTTTATTATTGGCTGTGGTTTCTTTGATGGACACATACCCGGCACGTCTCATGTGATGCAGAAAGTCTCTAGACAAAAACTTTCTCACGTGGGCAATGTGACAAATCATTAACCTTGCATTTGATATCCTGAGTCAAGGTACAAGGCACCCGATGCACGCTGCAACCTGCGCATAGATTCAATTTCCTGGTGCTCATATCGCTGGGAAGCCCTGGGTGTAGTCTGTGTCTATGCCTGCATTGGTTTCCGGCGACACTTCTTCACGAACTTTGATTCATCTGCAAGGTCGTCAAGTAGTCCAGGTACCTAGTTAGCGAGGAGTACATTCTAGGATCAGATGAACAAGTAATTCCCCCTCGTGGAAGCTTGCCTCCGGTACACTCGGTATCACCGTCAAGGTATTCACGGGAAGGTTTGTTCAAACGGCAGAAGGCGCACATTGGCTGGGTCGGAACAACGGCACAATTCATGATGCTGTAAGAGCAGATATTATCGACCATTGTCTCCGAGGCCATCTCAATAGTGGTGTCTCATGATATTATTTTTCATCGCGAATAGATGAATGAAGAATGGCCACCACTTTTACGTATCTATCTCGACTCACCGAATCGGGCGCGATGCGGAGAAGAGCCTGGATGACGTCATCTGCCGTTACGAGTATCTCAGCTGCAGCATTGATGTGTCAAAAAATGGACCACAGTACCTCTAAGCCTCTCTGGGTACTACGGTTTGCATTCAAGCTGCAGATGTGATGCCAGATCTAAAATTATCTTCGCTCGCAATGTGCATCTTATAAACAGTCTTTACTCTGTGTTTATAGAGTAGTATATAATGATACAACTAGAGCCGGCATATTTATACCTCTCGCTGCGGTTCAAATATGCTATGCCACTGGCAGTCGTTTCAGATGGACTTCCATAAATCTTGCTCCAGCTGGCAATGTTGCACTGCTGTCTTTGGCATTATAGTAGAGCTGCCATGCTTGGTGTTCTTCACTATTGGGCAACTGCACAGCCAGCCACTGATTATCTTGTAGTGTCACGTATTCCTGCTCATCTTGTGAAGCATCCCAAGGCCCGCATATCTGACCCTCGCTATCTTCCCGACTCCCATACCGCATCTCAGAGGTCGCTACATCGCAGAATACCCATCGCAGAGTGGGTGGGCACTCAGCTCCGATGCAGACGAATCCTGATGTATTCCCTCGCCCAAACGCAGGGTGTGGGTAGAAACCACCCTTGAATAGAACCATTTCTGGGCTTGGATGTTTTGTAATATACAACTGCGCGTTGTCAGGTAAAACCCATCACGCAGTTCTAGTCGAAACGACATACTTTCCTATTTGGATCCGCATAAACTTTGGCACCCTCAAGCTGGAGTCGTTCCGTTATTGAGCCATCCTGGAACCTCGTTACGACTTGCAGATTGGACGGCTGTGTCCGATCATCTGCCTGCCTGCGCTTCTCATCCTCGCGTTTCAGGTCGTGGTCATCTCTTCGATTGTGCTTGTCATCCTCCGTAAGCCCCACTAGGCCTGGGATCATGGTTGGGATCATGGTTGACATCATGATAATGTTCACGATTCCGAGAACCATGTTGATGGAATGGAGAACTTCCCTTAATGCTAGCGTCAGAGTTAAATCCAGGCATGAGCCATGTCGTTCGACCTGCGAGATATTTAATAGCATTGAGGTTCGTTGACAATGACATGGCGGGATTTCCGTTTGCGGCAACTACACCCCAATCAACGATCATTGCCTCTTCATGACAACCAGTCTGAATCACACACTGCACTAATGACGACATATTTGACAGGCTTTCCAACTTTTAATGTCGAAGCTCTGAGGCTAATTGACTCCTTGATCTCAGTAGTGGCTTGCGGTGTGGGACGAATCACTCTTTCCAGAGCCGAAGCTTCGATAAAAGAGCTGCACTTCGCAGATAAGATTGCATCGAGTTGTCTTCGCGCAGTATCCGTGTTTTTGACCTTCACAGGAGCGATACTTGAATCTTGACAAACAAATCTGAGTCCACTCCGTCACAAGAAGCGCTTCTGACTCGAAACATGGGTGCGGAGTAAGTAACATGTTACCTATTCATTCCCTAACGCAATGTTTCCACCTGCCAAATGGACTGTGCTGATTCATGGTCATATTGAAATGTTAGCGACAAGAAGGACCAACAACTCTCGGAGAATGACGGCTTCACAGACTTCGCCAAAAAAGATCCAAGCTCAAAAAACAAGAAGAACCAAGACTCCAACCTGAAGATTACCATTCATCTGGATCTGGTCGCCGAAGTCGATATCAAGATCAAGGCACAGCTATATGGTGATATTGTGATTGGTTTGCTTTGAATTGCTGGGATGGCCACCTATAGCTAGTTTAAGTGTGAGTTAAATCCGAACATCTCGACTTGATCGTAATTGTGTGTGCCTTTATCATATCAAAGTGCAAGATATTTGAAAAATTGGCTAGCCAGCTAAAACGCTCCTCTGGGTGGTGAAATTGGGTGGAGTACTGGTAGCGCAGCGCAGTGCACATCATCCCATGTGAATCGCAAGCCTTTAGTCTTGGGGTCGGGCTTTGCGCGAGGCTCAGCGCTATGTGTAGAACGGACGTACTTTTGGCTATTTTCGATGCATTGATATGTTGATTCTGGCCGTTTCTCAAAATGGTATCCCCCACCATCCACTGACTCGGAAACACCCTGGTCATGTTGATCATCCGTCACTTGTCTGGTGATCAACCGCGTCATTTGTTAGTCGCCATTTTGGGTTTCTCAAGATGTTCAGAAATCGATGGAAGAAACGAGTTAGGACTAGTCATCCGATGTTTGTTTCAACGGGTTTCATCTCACCAATGTTGTTGGACGTAGAGGAAGGGTGGAGCGGAAACAATGTTCCAATCAACTAACGAGAGGACCGTCATGTTATACGCTTGTCAACAGAAGAGAATGATTGCACATCATTGCGCCCCAAAGGACGGTCGGCAAGGCAAGACATAGATGGGGACCACGCCTGTTGGTAGGACCATGCCTTCTTTAGTTCCCCGGGATCGACCAAAGGCTTGCTTGCCGTTGGTAGTGTGATAACAGTCTACTCCCATATGTGGGCTCTATTCTGCTGCGGAATTATCTCATTGAAAAGACAATGAAGATGTGTTTGGGCTCCGCAGCTAGTAGCCCTTGAAGCGAGCTTGCGAAGTTGTCACTGATGGCCTTGTCCGGGGGAGTAGAAGAGATTCGTGTGGTTGATGGCGGATAAAAGCATGGCTGGGGCGGATGCGAGAGAGATAAACAAAGGCGAGAAGAAGAGGATGACGAATTACCTCTCTGCATTTCCGGCTGCTCGAAATTGAATTCTAGCAAGAAGCCTTTTAGGTAGCGAAGATTAATTGTAGTCGCATAAACGGTGCTCAACATATCTATCTACTCAGTTGATAGTCTACCTGCTACTTACATCAGTGAAACCTAGTCGAAGCATGGTTAGACTCACTTGGAGCTTCCTTCTCCAGTGACAGCCGCCGCTGACGAGACTAAGGTAACCCAGCTAAAACTAGACGGAGCAGCAGACCTGCTAAACCTAAACCAACCTGCCATCTGCCATCTCTTACCCTTTCCCCCCTCCCTCTCGTCTCATAATTCAGCATTCCAAAGGTCGGACACAGACCTTGGAAGAATCAAGAGAATAATTACCTCATTAACTAGAGACCAAGAGGGTTTATCTCACATTATCTTCCCGTCCTATCACGCGACGACGTGCCCTCCCCTCCCGCTGCTACCTCAGCAGCTAGCTCCAAGTGCTATATGCAGAGCCACCCGTCCTTTCTGTCATCGCCAATCGACTTCCATTCGCATCCTGCATCTCCTTGCTGGACCAGTCGCATCCTCGGATCGCTTACATCACCGCGAAAGCTCTCCGTCCGAAGGAGCGGAGATAGAGAGAACAACAAGGGGGAAACTAAAGCTACCTTCCTTCTTATCTTGATCGGCTGCCGTCCCTCACGCCTACCTTCGCTTTGAAACTGTCGCTTGCGGGGCCTTCTGGCCTCCCATCACCGAAGGTATGACTGCGATCGCGAACGCGTGTCTGTCCTGTCTATCGGCAGTCGACCGCTGGTGTCATATCACGGCCTGTCTCGGTCCTATCGGAGGTCGCTCGCGAGATGGAATCTATGAGACAACGCTAGCAGACAATGAACGGGAGGCCGTATCCGACCTGCTCGGTTACTTGGAGAACGTACGTCTATGCACCTGCGCTTCGCATCTAACATATCTATCAACGTACTCGGGCCTCTGTTTTGCTGTTGAAGCTGACTTTACTTGCGTTCTAGCGAGCCGAAACCGACTTCTTCTCCGGCGAGCCTCTTCGCGCCCTAAGCACCTTGGTTTATTCTGATAATGTGGACCTTCAACGAAGTGCTAGCCTGACTTTCGCCGAGATAACTGAGCGAGGTACGTCATATCACTGCTGTGAAAACCAGAAGTTGGGACTGACGTTATTGTGATTGTCGCAGATGTGCGCGAAGTCGACCGGGACACGCTCGAGCCTATCCTCTTCCTGCTACAGAGCTCGGACATTGAAGTTCAAAGGGCTGCTAGCGCAGCTCTCGGAAACCTTGCCGTCAACGGTTTGTCGCTCAATCCCATATCGTCGTCGAGTATTGCTGATGGGTTGTAGCCGAGAACAAGGTGCTCATTGTTGCCCTGGGAGGGCTGGCTCCTCTCATACGTCAGATGATGTCGCCCAACGTCGAGGTCCAATGCAATGCGGTTGGTTGTATCACCAATCTAGCGACTCATGAGGACAACAAGGCCAAGATTGCTCGGTCGGGAGCTCTAGGTCCATTGATCCGTCTAGCGAAATCCAAGGACATGCGTGTACAGCGTAATGCCACTGGAGCGCTTTTGAATATGACGCATTCTGGTAAGTTGGACCGTGTGATAGAACGGTTCTGAGCTTGGCTGACACACTCGTGTAGATGACAACCGACAGCAACTCGTCAATGCCGGTGCAATCCCTGTGCTTGTTCAATTGCTCTCCTCTCCTGACGTCGATGTACAATACTACTGCACAACTGCCCTCAGCAATATCGCTGTCGATGCCTCGAATCGCAAGCGGCTCGCCCAGACGGAGTCACGGTTGGTTCAGTCTCTTGTCCACCTCATGGACTCTTCCACTCCCAAAGTTCAGTGCCAAGCCGCCCTTGCACTTCGAAACCTCGCTTCCGACGAGAAATATCAGCTGGAGATTGTTCGTGCAAAGGGCCTTCCGCCACTCCTGCGCCTGTTGCAGTCCTCATACCTTCCCCTCATTCTCTCTGCTGTTGCATGCATCCGCAATATCTCCATTCATCCTCTCAACGAGTCGCCTATCATCGACGCAGGCTTCCTTAAGCCGTTAGTAGACCTTCTGGGTTCAACAGACAACGAAGAGATACAATGCCACGCCATCTCTACACTTCGTAACCTTGCCGCAAGCTCTGATCGCAACAAGGAGCTTGTTCTGCAGGCCGGTGCCGTACAGAAATGCAAAGATCTCGTCCTTCGAGTGCCTCTGAGTGTGCAATCTGAAATGACCGCTGCAATCGCTGTGCTGGCTCTCAGCGATGAATTGAAACCTCATCTGCTCAACCTAGGTGTCTTCGATGTGCTGATCCCCCTTACAAACTCCGAAAGTATCGAGGTCCAGGGCAACAGTGCTGCTGCCTTGGGCAACCTCTCCTCAAAAGGTACGTCACCAGCCATCGCTCTACTACTCTCTCAATTGCGCAAGTACTAATGAGCACCAGTTGGCGATTACTCGATCTTCGTTCGTGACTGGGCTGACCCCAACGGCGGCATTCACGGTTATCTCAAAAGGTTCCTTGCAAGCGGCGACCCTACCTTCCAGCACATTGCCATCTGGACTCTCCTTCAATTGCTGGAATCGGAGGACAAGCGGCTCACCGGCTACATATCCAAATCCGAAGATATTGTACAGATGGTGAAAACGATCTCGGACAAGAACATCGAATCAGACGAAGAGGATGGGGAGGATGGTGAGGCCGAGGTCATTGCGCTGGGACGGCGATGTCTCGGTTTACTCGGAAACGGTCCAAAACAGACTCTTGTCGAAGGCTAATGCGATGCTATCCCATAATTGTCACCATCTATACGCTTCATTCCTTCTCGTTCATATCTTGACGTTTCTTCTCACCACTCTCAACACATCGGACCTTTACTTACCACAGGGTGCTAAGCGGGCATTGATTCGGTGTCTTTTCTTACGCTTATTTCCTTCGTCAGCGAGCATTTGGTGCGTTTATGGATTCCCGCTAGAGTTCTCATCCATAATTGTCTGTTCGTCTATAGTTTTTTTTTTTTCAGGACTGTCACGCTTATTTTACCCTGCTTGTGCTGCACATGAATACTGTATTGATGCTAGAACAGATTTAAAGGTCATAATACTTTGAATCGCAGTATACTAGACTTAGTGAGAAACAATCCATCTCTTCATCAATTTCCCATCCATATGTTTTTGCATCTGTGAAGGCGTTGGCTCAATTGCTTTAGGCCGGGGAAACCTCCTTCCGAGCCGGTCTCCGCAAGACATCGTAGCAAAAATTACTCCGTAGCTTCCAGCTTCCTTTTCCAGACCAAAATCCAACATCCTTTTTGCACCTTGGGGAAGAAGATTGCCACTTCTTAGTGGCACTCAGTTGAGATGGCAAGCAGCCTACCCTCTTTGGCTATTCCAGGCCAGCACCTGGGGCCAGTGTCTTCTTACTCTGCAGGACCAGGTACCCACGTGCAGAATGCCAACATTTATGCATCCATTGCTGGACCAGTGGTTGTCCAACAAGCTCAACCCAGCTCCAAAGTAAAATCTATCCTCAGCGTCTCGCGGAACTTGCCGAGGAAAACGGACCCTCCTACCTCGACCACACCTGCAAAAACGACCACCACTACGAAACCCAAACTGAGGTACAACACTCTCCCCGCTGTCGACTCGATTGTGTTAGCACGCGTCACCCGTGTCCAGAAACGCCAGGCCACAGTATCCATCCTCGTCGTGCTCGACGAGTCGGCTGGTTCCCAAAACCCCGACCCGTCAAAGACGGCTTCAGACAACGACAACATCGTCTCCATCCTCACTTCGGCGGCCAATCCTGAGAATCACAGTAGCTCCGACGAGCTTCGCTTCCAGGCGCTTATCCGGAAGGAAGATGTGCGTGCTGTTGAGAAGGACCGCGTCGTTATGGATGAGATGTTCCGTGTTGGCGATATTGTGCGTGGTTCCGTCATTTCCCTGGGTGATCAGAGTTTCTATTATCTTACCACTGCGCGCAATGACCTCGGCGTTGTCATGGCCCGTAGTGAGGCTGGCAATATGATGTTTCCTGTCAGCTGGAAAGAGATGAGAGACCCCGTTACTGGTGCTGCAGAATTGCGAAAGGTTGCTCGGCCTTTTTGAGCGGTGTCGACGGTTGGATGACGCTTCAGGATTGAAATAAATCGGCGTCGCCTATTATCGAACTTCACCCCATTGATATTTCCAAGAAGATTATCTCGCCGACGCTCTTGGCATGTCTTCTGGTCATTCCAGAGCGAGGTAGATCTCGGAAACCTGGTCGTGCGAGAAAAACTCACGATCCGCGGGTTGTCCTTGAGGGGCCATTGACTATGCCTTGGCATTCTGATCGCCCATATAGCGGGCTGGGATACGTCGGCGCGACGTTGACGAACAAGAATAGTCATGAGATACCCATATGCTCAGTTCGTTCGTGAACAATATCCTCCAGCATCACCGCCTACGAGGCTGTTAGCATGGCAGGACCTATTTTATTTTACTCATTCTTGATCTCTCAAATGAGAATGAACAAATCTTTTCTCGTTTCCGTTCCTGGTGACATATCCTAGTAGCTTATTTCTTCACCTCCCAAGTATCCATGGTTCTGGCCATTCCAATGCTGAACTGTGTTTGTCACGGGAGGAAGATTAATGGTTTGTTCCGCGTGGAGGACTACTCATCTTCTACGACCCTCGCCTACTATTCCTAGTCCTTGATTGATGGATGTGGAAAAATCTCTTTCGAGGGCACAAATGTTGTATCTTTGCAGTATCTCTTTGTAAGATGGTAGACATCGACTCGTTAGATTCCGCAAACAATTCCCATTCACATTCTATCATAATAACCACAATCTACTTCTTCAACGTCTTCTGCTTCTCCGCATCAATCAACTTCCTACCCTGAACAACCAACCCCTTCCTCCTCCGCACAGCATCCATATACCGTTTCGCCACGTTCTCACGATCAGCCAACTCTCCCAAATCCTCCAGTTCCTCCTCCGTAGCCGGGACCCAGAACGGATCTTCGTCTAGGGCCTCGAAGCCCGCGAAGATGAGCTGCGGCTGTGCAGCACCCGAGGTCCGCTTGCGAATTTCCTCAGCGAAGCCGAATGATTCGGCGACGGGTAGGAGGGCCAGGATGGTGAAGAAGGGGGTTCCTTCTTTCATTGTTTCGGAGAGGATGCGGCCGCGGCGGCGGGTGATGACGCCGTAGACACGGCCTAGGACCTCAGCTATTGTAGCATTGTTAGTCTGTGTTTGAGATGGACAGGATGATTGGGGTTGGAACTAAACGTACTTGAAGCTTGGATCTCGCAACTGTACATTGCGAGCATGATCCGGGGACTCCAGTCGAGGAAACCTTGGGTAATACTCTCGCGGACTAGTCGGATGACTTCGCCTGTCAGACGACCAAGGTCCAATTCTTCTTCGCTGGCGTTGATCGATAGTTCTTCCAGGAATACGGCGATGCCTTGGATAGGTTCATGGCAGAGAGGGCCTTGACCTGTTGCGAGCTGAAAGGCGTGCGCGAGCTTGTCGTTGAAGTCGCGGACCGTCAGGGAGTCGCGGGTGCTTTCTTCGGTTGTAGTGTTGGGTTGCTGTTTAGGGTCGTCGAGTAGGCTGGGCCAGTTAGATTGAGGAAGTTGTCGGAAACGGTGTCAGACTTACAATTTCTCGCAGGTGTTTACCGCAGTGGCGTCAACCAAGATATTCGGTCCAACTCGTCGAGGGCCGAAAGCAGTGATCCGGTCGACGACATTCGCCCATAATTCTTTGTCCTCCTTCACTTCCTCGTTAAAGATCCTGGTGAGTTCCTTTTTGAAGTCTTTCAAGGAAAGCTGATTGCCCTCTCTGGCTTCTCCAGAAGCATCGCCGGACTCAACCTGTGTTGTGGTCTCCAACGACCCGTTGCTTGCTTCCGCGTCGGGTTTGGTCTCACCCGCTGAGCGTTTCTCAGACTGGAGACGCTTGATTGTTCCAACGTTCTTGGAGATGAAGTCCGTCACTGCTTCAGGTAGGGGCACAACGCGCAGCTTGACAGTCAACTGTTTCGAAGGAGAAACGGCCAACACACATCCTCGGCCAAGTTCTGGCTTCTTTGGAGGCGCCATTTCCGGCGCGCTGATAATTGTTTCCCGGTATGGTACGATTGTCTGACCGGTTTGGATCTCACATTTGGCAAAGCGCTCGCGGAGATCTTTGACGCAGCGCTCAAGATGCAATTCACCAGCAGTCAGAATCACATGCTCACCACTAGGGAGAACCTCATATTGTGCACATGGATCGCTTTGTTCGAGGAGGCGCAGACCGGTGACCATCTTGTTCAGGTCGGCAGGGTTCGCCGGCTCAAGGGAAACTCTTACAATTGGTGGGGCGTTTAGCGAGACGCCAGCCAAGTTGATACTTCCTTCAAGCTGCGAGCAAAGAGTTCCATTCTTGAGGACATGCCCTTCAAGGCCACCGATACCGAAAATCGCTCCCGCGGGAACGGTCTTGAGCGGCTCCAGGCTCCTGCCCATAAGGAGATATAGATCCGTGACTTTCACCTTCTGTGGCTCAGGGTGTGCATGAGGATTCGCCGGAGAGAATTTGGGGGCCAACACATAGACCTCATCACCAACCGAAAGGGTGCCTGAGTACAATCGTGCGAAACCAATCAAGTGCTCCGGGTCTTCCTTCTCCTCTGGTTCCCCTTGTTCCTCTCTGTCATCCAGCGTGGTCACTTCGAATGCAGATGTGATACGCGCGTAGTCGTCCGTCTCATTTCCGTTTCCGCCTGCCTCAGCCTGCATCTTCGCAATCTCTTCTCGCTTCTTGCGTGCGATTTCGCGGGCTTCATCTGCCGACAAGGTCGCACCGGAGCGCTTTTTGCTAGACAGTAGCTCACTTTCAGGGATCGCAACCATCTTGCTGACATAGGCTACCACAGGAGCGTCTGTGCCTGTCTTGAACGCTACCATTGCGTCCTTGACCTTCTTGTCGACAAACTCAGCGCCAGGCGAGCCTTCAATTAGTCCTGGTAGTCGAGTGGCTTGGGCAGCCGGTGGGCTGGGAAGATATTCAATGACAGACACCAAAACAGCAGTTGATAAGGGAAGCCACATTGAGAACAAGGTCATCATGATGTTTCTCGGGTCACGAGAGCGAAGAATATAAGGCGGGATGGTGATGTTCAAGGACTTGGTGATCTTCTCCAACAAAGCTGGATCGCTAATATAACATCAGTATCAAAACAATCTCCAATCTCAGCTGTGCAACATACCCTTTGCCTTTCCCTCCACCAGTTGTAGCTTCATATGCAGCCCAGATACTGTCTAACACCAATTGAACAAACATTGGCTTGAGGGCACGTCCTTTCAAATGCTTCGACCCCAAGACACGCTTCGTCTTAGGGTCAAGGTAGAAGTCTCCCCATAGCACTTTCTCAAGAATCGACCGTTTGATTCCTAGTTTCCTCTCGTAGAGAGCAGCGAACTGTCGAACGGTGAAAGCCCAGCCATCGATGGCACTACAGAAAATGACATTGTTTTTCTCCGGAGCGAAGTAGATTTCCTCATCGTCCTTTTCCTCGAATTCCGCCTCATCGACGCTGCTCATGTTTGTCTCATCGCCTTGTTCCTGCTTCTGAGCGGTTCGAGCAGCCGAGGCATTGATACGGTCTTCCATACGCTCTCGCCACTGAAGGTCTTCCTCCATCCGTTCGCCCTGATAGAAACTTCCGATGACAGCGTTGACTTGCTCTAATAGTCTGCTTAAATGAGAGTAAGCTTCACTGGGGCTCATTTTCAACTCTCCAACCAGTCTGTCGATCTTGTTGACGACCAAAATCGGTTTGAGCTGCTCGACCCAAGTCTGACGTAGCACTGTGACAGTTTGACTGCAAACACCCTCAACGGCATCAACAAGGACTAGAGCACCGTCACAGAGCCTTGAAGCTGTCGATACTTCGCTGCTGAAGTCGATATGCCCAGGCGAGTCGATCAGGTTGATCAGGTACTCTCTGGGCTGAGGAGCAGCATCAGGAGACGAGCGGCGCATCATGGAGAAATACAGGGAGATAGCAGACGACTCCATAGTGATTCCTCGAAGCTGCTCATCTGGACGTGAGTCCAGATAGCGGATCTTGCCCGCCAACTTCGGGGAAATAATGCCATTTGTGGCGATGAGACCATCTGTTAACGAAGTTTTCCCATGATCCTAAGTCATCATCATTCAGAATTAGAAGCGCTCAGGCAGTCAGTCATGCTGTAGAGGACTCACAACGTGGGCAAGAATACAAATCTGCGGGATGGTTAGCGCTGAACAAGTAGAAAATATGACATCAAGGTGGGATGGAGGGGTAGCTCACATTCCGTATGTCCTCAGACCTCTGTTGGAGACGGACAAGATCATCTACATTAACGACAGGCATCTTAAAGAAACATCGAGTCTATAAATTTTTTTCCAGCGTTGACAACCAGAGAGAGACCTGGTAAGGTGAACTTTTAAGGCGGTTTCTCGGTGTTCCGCTGTCGCGAAAACGGGCAAAAAATTATCTTCGGATTGTGAAGTCAGAGAGAGGGTTCAACATCACCAATAACAACACACCAAGGAGAGCTCTGTAGCAATTACTTCACAGAGGTTCTAGGCGAAAGACATGGCCTCACCTTGTCGGCCAAATGGTCAACTGGCCTACTGGGTTTACCTACTGGGTTTACCAAGGTACGGCTATATATCTAAGCAGAGGTACTATCAACGATATTATTATCTAACAAGTGTTATCAAGAACTAAGTATAGCATGTTTGCCTCATTCATCGAAGGATAGCTTGATCTTCTTCTTCTTTTGTTTCTGCTTTGCTTTCTGAGGCCCAGTGCTCGCTTGCTGCGTGCCATTCTCAGCTTCAACATTATCGGCTGTGATGACTCTCGCCTGTTTCCGCTTCTTTGGGCCTCCTATTCCAGCCAAATTCTGCTTTGAGGACGCTCCCTCAACGTCGGCTTTTTCAGTGTCCTGTTTAAACTCGTGACCCGACTGTTGTTCGGATGACTCCTGTTGTTTCTCGTCACCGCGCAATAGTGCCTCATATTCTTCCTTCGATATCACCTCATTGCTTTCTTCATCAACGTATGTGGGCTCGTCATCGTCCTCATCATCTTTCTTCGCTAATCGAGGTCGCGCAACAGGCCTTTCAAGACGACCAGACGTATCTCCGTACTGGTTTCTAAGTTTCTGTAGAAAAGCGGGCTGTTTATTCTCTGCCTGGCGTTAGATGAAGTACCGTGTGAGCGAGAACTTATAGCATACCATAGGCGAGATTTTTCGCGTTGAAGGACATGACTCCTGAATACAAGCCGCGTTAGTCCCGAATCAGACACAGTCAGAGATCGGTTTAGCGATGCTTGAGGCCAATAGCTAATTTTAATGCTTCTTGAATGTCTGTTAGTAGCGCGGGAGTTTCTGGGCCAGATGTTCTCAGTCGAACTGCATCCTGGCAATAAGGAGGGCCTAATAGGACGAAAAAGAGGCGGTTTAACCGAACACGGACGGTTATACCATGGTCAAAGTATACTGAAATACTAGCACACGGAGTAGTATTGCCTGAGAGCGAAATGAATCTGGAATGGTGTACAGCGCGTGAGACGCCAAGCAATGGTCGATCGGCCAGCTTTGCGGCGCGGCTAACCCAGATAGGGCGGAAGCCTTGTGTCGTCGAAAAGTCCAATGCGGCGACAGCTCTCATGTCAAGCAACCTCTCTCTAGGCCAACCAACTCATAACACAAACAATGCTGTGCGCAAGTGAGTCAATTTTATTCCATATTTTGTTTTGCTTGATTGCATATAGTTAATCATTGAACAGTTTCGGGAGAGGCACCGCAAGTGCCAGTCGTCTCGCCCAAGAGCGGTATGTCAAGGATCCAAGGATTTCCCGAGCTTCATTTGTCTAATAGCGCGTAGGCAGCGTCTTCGAAAGACGTCTCATCGAGGCATATATTGCCGAGAACGGAAAAGATCCAGTAAATGGAGAGGAACTCTCGGTCGACGAACTCATCGAAGTCAAAAGCCAACGCGTTGTCCGACCCCGACCTCCTACCCTCACATCCATTCCCTCATTGCTCAGCGTGTTTCAAGAAGAATGGGATGCGCTGGCGCTCGAAACTTACACATTGCGTCAGACCCTTGCCCAGACGCGGCAGGAGCTGAGCGCAGCTCTCTATCAACACGATGCTGCTGTACGAGTCATTGCGAGGTTAACAAAGGAAAGAGACGAAGCTCGCGACGCTTTGTCCAAGGTGACTGTTAGCGCCGGTCGTGCCGGAGGTGGAGAAGCTATGCAGGTCGACTCAACCGGCTTACCAGATGCTGTTCTTGCAAGAATTGAAAGCACACAGGCGTCGTACGTGACATGGCTATTTCAATTCGTCATCTTGTATTGCTAACCTCACCAAGGCTGTCCAAGACACGTCGCAAGCGACCTATTCCCGAAGGCTGGGCTACAAACGACGCCCTTTCTACATATAAGCCCACTGAGACGTCCGAGCCTCTCTGCCAAGGCGGCAAGGCCCTAGCCGTTAACGCGGCCGGAGACATGGCTCTCGTAGGGGGTGCTGATGGCACTGTCGGTGTCTACTCCCTGTCCGAGAAACGTGTCGTTGGTAGTCTGCAGACAAGCGGCCCGGTTACCAGTGCTGTATGGGCTGGTGACAAGGCAGTCATCGCGTCCTCTACGGGTGCCGTCCAGGTCTTTGAGAATGGCAAAGAACTGGCGAACTTTGCTTCTCATGCTGGTTCAGCAACAGCTCTTGCTCTGCATGCTACTGGTGACATAATCGGCTCTGTTGGCGTTGATAAGAGCTATGTGTTGTATGACCTGACAACTAACTCTGTCATCACTCAAATTTTCACGGACGCATGTAAGCAAGGGCCGATTTTTTCGTTTGCGACCTTTACTAATTTTTCCCCTTCTCCTTTAGCTCTTCATACCATCGCATTCCATCCTGACGGGCATCTCATCGCTGCGGGTGGCGCAGATGGTCAGATCAAGATTTTCGACGTTAAGTCTGGCGCCGCGGCCGCCAACTACGCCATGTCTGGCCCCGTCAAGTGCCTTTACTTCTCCGAGAACGGCACGTTCCTTGCTGCAGTGTCAGATAACTCGACTGTTCTGTCCATCTGGGATCTCCGCAGCTCGAAGGAGATCAAGGTTCTGGAGACTGGCAGCCAGATCGACTCTATCTGCTGGGATTACACTGGGCAGTTCCTACTCACTGGTGGCCCCAGCGGTGTGACTGTCCAGCAATACTCGAAGGCGTCCAAAGAATGGTCGGAGCCTTTGCGCAGCGCCGTGCCAGCAGTGGCAGTGGCTTGGGGCTCTGCTGCCCAGAGCATTGTGGCAGTGAACAGCAGCGGTGGAGTCACAGTTTTGACAGCACAGGAGTCATGATACCTTACAGAGAAGGAACCTCTTTTGTACTTCTAGCCAAATGTGTTTCCATTTTCCTCCTTTTTCATTGTCCTCAATCACTCTAGGCTTAAAAGGTTTACAATCAGGATCGCTACACAAGGCAAGGAAATTCATGTTTGTTTCATCTCGGTCATAGCACTTTTGAACGATAATGACGCCGGTTAGCAAGTCTTGTCTGTTCCTCAACTACGATTCGCGCCAGCGTTTATAATCTTTCCCCAGCTCATGGTACATTGCGCCAGCCTGTAAATTGTCTGCTTGCCAAATGCTAATTCCTTCGCCACTGCTTATAAATTTATGCATTGGGCGGCGGTATGACATCTCTCCACCACAGACTCGGAACCAGCTAGTCATGGCCTCCACCAACAATAACGGGAAGCCCTACCGACTCCGGATGCTCCAGCATCCCTTACCTTCCATGTTATCCCCCTCTCGGTCCAACTCTTTCCATTTAATGACATTGACCTCACATCCTCGACATGAATGGTGATTCAGGCGTCCAGTTTGTGGCGGCGCGGCCAAGAAAGGTTTGTTCCATTGCGTTCATGAACTTCACAGAGCGGGGCATTTCTTTACGATACCAACACAAACCCATCAGAACTTTCGCAGGCATTTCTGATGACTATTCTCAATAGCGTCCTCATAATCAGATGTCTGAACCATCACGAAGCCAGCATCAGTCTCGCTGGCGCTCAGACGCTGAACCGTCCTCGTCCCAAGACCACAATTCTCCGCATAGCCGCCCACCGTTGCCACCGATGAGATATCCTGGAGATGGATATGATTTCCGTCGACCGATAATGTCTGATTCTCCTCAAAGAGAGGATGTAATAGATTTGACGAACGAGCCAGATTCTCCGGAAGACCAGAGAAGACCGCAAAATGGCGCCTCGCGAACAACACCACGACTACCACGATTTGGAAGAAACATAATGGCCGAAGTTGTCGATCTTGAAGAACCAGAAGATATAATTCGAGTAGATTCCCCAAGCAGTCCGGAAGTGCAGTTTGTCGGAGCTACAGTTCGCCAGCCAGAACCGGTGCCGGCACCTCCGCCTAGAAATCGAGGCTTCATAGGGGCGAATCTCTGGGATTTAATACGATTACAACGTGAAATGGCACCGCGTCATCTCATGTCAAGAGAGGAAAGCTTCAGACAGGAAATTGCATGGAGAGCGCGAGACCTTCACCGTCGTCCGCCCGACGAGGTGGACATGTTTTTGCTTGGTGCTGCTGAGGAAGCCATCGATCTTGAGGATGCCATGGATCTCGCGATAGTCGGGGATAGGTCATTGAGAGTTGAGTATCCTACATCTGGGTTGACTTCAGATAGAGGCTCCCGTCAGAGCTCGTACAAAGCGCCAAGTCCTCCCTCCGAAGGATTTACGAGAAGCGCTGGGGAGGAGGATCTGGTCGTGTGTCCAAATTGTGATGAGGAACTTGGAACAGGCGATGAGACAAAGCAACAGATATGGGTAGCGAAACCTTGTGGACACGTTCGTGACACCTTATCATATGTTTGAGACCTAGCTGACGTTTTTCAAGGTATACTGTGGCGAATGTGCCAGGAATCGTGCTGTCTCCAAGGCTAAGAAGACTCCCCAGAGAACCAAACCATTTTCTAAATGTCAGGTCATTGATTGCGGTAAACCTGTCAGTGCACCCAAATCGATGTTCCAGATATACCTTTGATCACCGGTATTCTGCGTATGTTCAACGATGATCGGGTTCGCATGGTGAGGTGCTTCGGCGGAGTTAAAGCGTTTTTTCGGTTTCCCTATTCTTGATACCCCATTGCATGTGTACTGTGGGCGCGAGGGCATTTGTGTTTTTCTCCTCCCTTGAGGGACTTTTTCTGGATAGTAGAGGCATGAGGCATGCCATTTATTCATTCTACCTTAGTAGATAACGATCCATAGCAACGGTTCATGCAACCCGCTGTTTATCTGACATTGAAAGGTATTTATTTTGTACATACCGTGCAATGACCCCTAATAGAAAGGCCTTGGGGTTGTCAAGGAAAAAACACGACAAGAAAAGAAAAACCCACGATATACATTATACACAGAAAAGGCTGAGAGATGGAGCCTCAACACCAGTCTAAACACCCCCAACACTGCTTCATACCATCTTGAGATCTCCGTGGTACGGGGACCAGATGCCTCTTACACTCTCGTTGATACTGGTGACGGGCTTCTTGGTGCGCTTGAGCTTCTCGCCGCTGGCTTCCTTAAGTAGATTCGCCTTCTTCAGGATTTGTTCAGGTTCCATATTCCGAACGCAGATCGCTTTCTCTCGTCCGTTGATGTAGTGACCTTTGATTACCGGGTGTTTGTGCGGCCGTGGTGATACTCGGATTTCGATCTGAGGGTTGGCTTTGGCGAAGGAGGGTAGGGAGTGTTTCAGGAAAGCGCTGCATGACAAAATCACTTAATTCAATTCATTGATAGATAGAAAGGAGGACTGGACTTACACCATGCCTCTCGAACTACCAGCCCAGTCGCAGTAGTGGAAATCCAAACGTTTGCATTGTAGGATGAAGGCGCCCACGCCGTTCTGTAATTCGCAGCACGTCAGTCGCTGAAAGGAGGCAATCATTGTTTGGCAAGGTGCGTGCATCATACCCTGGCCTTAGCTACCGTTCTGATGCCTTGTACAGGCATTTTGTGATGTATTTTATGACCGCTGTTCGGTGTCTACCAAGTTATCTAGGAACAATTCGGCGACTTTTCAAGACCGCAAGCAAGGTGGTTTCCCATTGGCTGGCGTCAATCCCGCTTAGCGCGGCTGGCGCTTCTGCAGTCCCGTGGTTCCAGGCTACTAATGGAACGCGAAACTCTCAACAACCTGGCCGCGAGAATCTGAGTCCGAGGGAACCTACCTAAACTATTACCTATCGTTTCCGCTCATGACTTCAGATCACATCGAGAAGTTGTCGCTAGCTTGAAATAAAATCATTGAGGGGTCAAAATGACGGACAAACTCCCCCTCCCCTTCTGGCGCTCTTCCAGCCTCGTCCACCATTACGTTACGTTCCTCCCATTGATCGCGCACCTGAAGATGTCAAGAAGAGTAGCATCGGCGGCGTTGCAGATTTTCTTGGAGAACTTAAGAAATACGGAGAGGAAGTTCCTTACAATGCCACAGAGAGCTGGCTGCAACGCAAGTGGCGTCAGAAGCTCGAGAAAAAGGAGGGACTGAATAGGCAGTTAACTGAATGCCTTCAATCTTGTAAGGGCCTCGACCATCGATTGTACATTCTCTCATGAGTGCTAACCATCTGCTTAGATGATCCTTCGAATGATCCTCAAGCTCGAGGTGATCCCTTCAGAACTCTGTTTGTTGCTCGACTGAGCTACGACGTGAAGGAGTCCGACCTAGAACGAGAGTTCGGTAGATTTGGGCCAATTGAAAGAGTGAGTGTATTTGTCATCGTCGTGCATTTCAAAGCTAACTTCTGTTAGATCCGCATTGTAAAAGACACAGTCACGCCGAAGGGCTCCAAGAAGCCACACAGGGGCTATGCTTTCATCGTGTACGAGCGTGAAAAGGACATGAAAGGTACTACTGCTACTCACAATTATAGTGAAACCTCTTGAGACTTCTCTTGACCCCAAAAGTTTGGACTCCTTGCTGACCTGATCATCCTTCTCCCTACTCAGCTGCCTACAAAGAGACAGATGGGATCCGAATCAAGGATCGACGTGTCTTGGTAGATGTGGAACGTGGCCGCACGGTCAAAGGCTGGAAGCCTCGCCGCTTCGGCGGAGGCTTGGGAGGACGTGGCTATACTAAGGCTTTGCCCTCGCGTCCTACCGGACCTGGATCTTTCAGTGCGCCTTCTGGCCCTGGAGGATTTGGTGGCGGATTCCGGGCGGATATGGAGGTAGAGGTTTTCGAGGAGGATATCGCGGCGGCGATCGCTTTGGCCCTCGTGGCGGGATTGGTTATCAGGGCGGACGCAACGGCTTTGGTGGACAGGCTCCACCAAACGCCCCCTCCGGTCCCGGTGGTGGCCGGAATGCTGGCTTTGGAGGCGGCTATGCTGGTGGTGGAAAGTATGAGAGAGATGCCCGGGCCCCAGGTGTAACTGGCAGCAACCGCGAACCTATTAAGCCCAGAGAAGGCTACTCAGAGCGAGACCGACGTGATCATGACCGTGATCGGGAAGGTGACCGTCACAGAGACCGTGATCGGGATCGCTACCGTGACCGTGATCGCGACCGCGAACGTGACAGACATGGTGGCCGGGAAGATTATGGCCGCAAGAGATATCACGAGGACGATTCCTATGAGGATCCTCGCGCTAAAAGGAGGTACTGAACCTCCCTTACTGGATTAAGTTCCCCATCCAGGCGTCAGCATGGTTTGCTGGTGGGTATCTACGCTTGATCTTTCCTTTCTTCCCTTGTCCTCTTTGATGCAATGGGTAAAGCAAGGTCAACTGAGACGTCAACACCGACATTTACGACCACGGAAGCATTAACAATTCGCACAGTCGAACCGATGTGCCACCTTTTTCTGCTTGTCACCAGGCATCTTCATCAGCTGAAGGCTTCACTTGTTACTATTTCCTTTACGAAGGGTCAAGGTTTGGAGGCACTATTCGTGATGGCCCCTTTTCCTCCTTACGATCTCGTGGTCTCGCCTCTGTTCTGCGTGTTTTCCATCTTGTTTTGTTGTGTCGGCCCTTTTAGGGTCTCTGTTACTCTACACGGGGTAAGTATGTATTTTAGGTAGCCGTCATTTTCCTAGGTGCAATTTGGTTGGGATCCGGGGATGCTCAGGTAAGAGACGCAGGTAAGGCATATTTAACGGCCATGTCGATGCCAGAATCCTCGTATGCAAGTAAGAATCGGTAATCTATGCTTGTCACCATGTAGCTTTCTGCTCTGAATGGAAGATGTCCTGCATAATTGCTTTTCCGCGTGGTATTCTATGTCCATCGTACGCTCATCCAGCAACATCTAGGATGAATTCATGATCTTCGAGGAATATAAAAAGAGAAACAACGAAAGAACGCCTATGCCCAACTCCAATCAATGCCCAGAAAATTTTGGGGGTAAAAGAAGAAAAGGAACGGTCTTGGACATGAAATTACTGTCCGTCAACCTCCATGCCCTCATCCTTCTCGAGGATCGTAACTTCACCGGTACTCCGAGTCCATTGCGCCTTTAGATCGACCTTGAATTCGGCAGTAGCGACACCGAACATCTTCAACAACGTTGTCTGCCGCGAGTCCAGAACTTCTCCCTCTTTGCAGATAGGGTAGCCCTCTTGACCATCAGTCAGCTCGAGCATGACCTTGCCCTTCACTAGACGAGTAGGGACGCCCAGTTTGCGCAGCTCCGGCTCAATCGTGTGGCTGACGGGTTCGTCTTCGGACGCAGGAATCTCACCAGCACGGGAGTAGACCAGGCCATTGGGGATGCTGAATGACCGGGTGCTGACTGTGCCGGCACGGGCGAAGTCGAGGGGCGGAAGGCGTCGAAGTAGCTGAGGACGGACTCGGGATCGCGCGAGGTGAAGAGAAGACCGACGGCACCTGTCAGGTAGGGAGAGAGTTTGTGCAGGTTGGGTGCGGCCTCGGTCTCTGGGTTGTGGCCAAGGGCAACGGCCATGACTTTAGTTTTGCCAAAGAAGAGACTATTTTATATGTCAGCAATTGAAGCACGATGATGTTTTCGCTGCCATATTCAACTCTAAAACGCATATGTCGCGAGGTTGATCCTGAAAATCGGGAAGACTCACCGACTATCGGCAAATTCGGTGCGCACATCCTTCAAATAGGTGTTGCGCATGTTATCGACGGAGAAAACGAATAGGTGATCATAATTCTCGACACATTCGCGGACATTGGCATAAAGTCGTCTGGTCTGTTCCTTGTGGGACTTCTTGGTGACCTTCGACTCGTGGACGATTCTGGCACGCTTTGAACGAGGCATTCTGAAATATTATAGAGTCTGGATTTCTGAAAGTGATTATACCGATGCGAGCCTGTATAAGCCTTAAAGGATGCGGAAATACACAGACTCGGAAAATTGACTCGGAGGAGCAGAAAGATACGATTTATTTTTTTCTTCTCTGATAACAAGCGGATTAATGTTGATGCGGGGCTTATCCGATTACGCTAAGTCGTATGAGGAAACGAGCTGATGATGTTGGGGCTTCAACTTCCGTTTCCAAGTCATCATCGTCATTAGTTGTCCATGGGCCGGATTCATTTCTCGTTCATTGGAGATGGACTCATAATATTAAACGACGGCTGGGCTGAAGAACTCAGTTGAGACATCTTTGACAATGCTTGACTTCATGGACTACATCCAATTGGCATTTGCCGAGGCGACCAACTGGAACCGCGACAACTCATATTCGTCCCTGACAGCCACAGCGCAATGTATGTGAATTACCTCGCATATAAATTTTGATAAGTCATAGTCTCAATTTGACTGCTTACAGCATTACTCGATTTCTCGACGCCGGAGCGTTTGCGCGTCCATCTTTCCTCCCTAGCCACTCCTCACTTCGCGACCAGTTATACCCTCGGTACAGTTGGATTGATCGATGGCTCCGTATCGTACCTCTACAGCACAGTGCCTTTAAACAATACTCCCAGTCGGAGCGCCCTTATTCCTCTGCGTAAACTAGCTCGCGGTTATCGCCAAGTTCAGCCTCCAGTTGCCCCGGTGGAAGATTGGGAGTGGCAGTCGCTTCTTGATGGACTCGGATCCTCTAAGTCCAAACCCTCCGGCGATGGCGATAGTCAACCTTCACTCGGGCGGAAGGCGACTTTGCTCAATGCAACTTTGCATCTTCCTCCCCCGACTACCCTGAATGCCTTGTTCTTGCGCCGGATCTCACCAACCATGCAGCTGTCATTGGCAGTCTGCTCGACCCGGGGGCCTCCTCTATCAAACTCTGCGCCGCAAGCTTCTCTCCTGGGCCAACTCTCCCACGACACGGGCAAGTATAGCAATGAATACCTGTTCAGCACAGACAATTCTTTGTTCGGCTGGCGGGGCTCTGGAACTTCGGCCCCGACCCGCGCCATCCCAAGGAGAACTCATCACCGCGGTTATCACTACTATCGGCCGGCGCAGAAGCCTATTACTCCCCGGTCTCTTCGCTCATCGGCATGTCCACTGGGTTAAGGTTCAGCACCCTACCAGCAGCCACCGAGATGCCGTCATCATCATCATCGACATCTAGCACAACCACAACCTCAAACCACGGCACTCCGATCTCCACCTTCCCATACACCCTCACCCTGGTCCTAACACCACTCACCGGCTCCCTATCAACCACCTACTCCCTCCGCGCCTCGCCCAACCTAGCCTTCAGCTCCCGCTTCGGCTTCAACGTCTACAGCTGGGAAAGCGAAATGGTCGCCGGCTGCGAACTATGGCGGAAACGAAGGGAATCTCCTCAACCCACAATCGATGACGACGGCCTTGAATGGGCCAGGCGGAAGATGCGCATGGCCGATCCCTCTGCCTTTCCTCCCGTGGAATCCCCCACTGCGCACAATGGAGAGGAAGAAAATGAATCAGTGCTGAAGATCCGCGTCGATCAGTCCTGGAATGTGCGGTTGCTATGGGAGGGCCGCGTGAAGGAGCTTCTGGTTAGTGCGGGGTTGGGCTAGGTCCGAGTTCGTTCTCTTCGTCTTCGTGGGCTGCGAATTCGACTGCGGCCGGGGGCGGGCAGTCTGTTGGCGGGGTGTTTCTGGGAAGTCGTATTGGCATGGTGTTGGGGTGTCGGTTTCGTATTCATCGTGAGTGCAACATATTTAAGGTATACTCTGTATATGACCTGCATCGTTCTTTGTATATAGCGCTTTCTACTACGTCCTGAATATGGATTAGGATATAATTCATCCATGATTTTACGAACGTTAAGAGGACTGAACCAGCTGTATCGCATACTTCACTTTATTTACATTCAATTCCTACTTATCGTTGAGATATATAGCCTGAACTCCACCAGCTGAATGGGCAAAGGTAAGCAAGCTTATATAATTCCCCAGAGCGCCGCTCAAGAGATCGATTGCGAAATCTGTATTCCTGCCGGTACTACTACAGCGGCAGCAGGATTTTGTGAGGGAGGTTTTCCTGTATGTCGGCTTACAGACGGGCGTTGACAATGTCGACGACTAGATATCACATCGTTAGTCTATAACTTCGACAATCAATCGGGCAGAGAGGAGTTCTTACAGGCAGGCTTCAAGCTGGCACCGCCAACCAGGAAACCGTCGACATCGGGCTGCTTGGCCAGCTCGCGGCAGTTCTTCTCGCTGACGGAGCCACCGTAGATGATGCGGACGTTCTCAGAGGCCTCGGCGGAGACGTCGTCGCTGAGCCACTTGCGGATGGCAGCGTGGACCTCCTGGGCCTGCTCGGTGGTAGCGACCTTGCCGGTGCCGATGGCCCTGCAGTGTGTTGTTAGCGTTTAGTTGCGAATTAGCGTGTTTGTGAGCGACTAACCAGACAGGCTCGTAGGCAATGACGACCTTCTGCCACTGCTCCTTGGAGAGCTCCTTGGCGACGGCAGTGAGCTGCCTTCTAACGACGTCGATGGTCTTGCCGGCCTCACGCTCCTATGTAGTGTTAAGTCTACTGCATACGTCGGAAATAGAACCGAGCGAATAGGATAACTCACCTCAAGGGTCTCACCAATGCAAAGGATGACGCTCAGCCCACCATCAATGGCAGCCTTGGTCTTGCGAGCAATAAACTAATCAGACATGTCAGCCATTCCATTCCCAATCCGGCAAAGTAGATTCCAGCGAGAAACGTACCTCGTCAGTCTCCTTAAGGATGACACGACGCTCGCTGTGTCCGATAATAGCCCAGTCAATCTTAGCATCCTTGAGCTGCTCAACGCTGATTTCACCGGTGAAAGCACCGTTGGGCTTGTCGAAGACGTTCTGGGCGGCAACGCCAATCTTGGAGTCGGCAGTTTGGCGGGCAAGGAGGAGGTAGAGGGCAGAGGGGGAGATGACGACCTCGACGGAGGGGTCGAGCTTGGCCTCATTGAGGTTCTTGATGATGGAGGTGATGGTGTCAGTGACACCGTTCCTATCATTGCACCGAGAATGTTAGTAGCTGTCCAGTTGCAGGCTGGGATGGTGAAACTGCGAGGGGAATTGCGGGGCATTGGGTTAGAGCTCATACATCTTGAAGTTACCACCGACGAAGAATTGGCGAGGCATTTTGGCTGAGTGTATAGAGAAATGAAAGAAATGGGAAAATATGCGGAAGATATGAGTCTTGACAGTCTGGAAAGATGGGTACGAGGGAAGAAAAGCAGGAAGTCACTAGCCTGGAGTAACCGACGTTTATTATGGAGTTTATGACGAAGACGAAGAGAAAACGGGAGACAGCGGGGCTGGATGCCTTACCGAACTGGCAGAAACAGAGAGGGGCTTATCGATAACGCTTGTACTGCGTCACTTGGCCCACGCTCACCGGGGACTTGATGAGCTGTCCTGCTGCGTGTAGAGGGCTACATATGAGACGATTCTTCAATTGGCTCATCTAATACGAAAAGGATGACCAGGGAGCTACCTGCGGAGTGTAGGCTATTCAGTACGATTGTTCTGTACAATTGCATGTACCTAATTACCAAGAGACAACATATACTAGTAACGCCCATGTTCCCAGTGGTATCCCTGTTGACCGATTGACCGAAACCCCGAAAGTGTACATTACAGCATGAGAGACAGAAAGGGGAAAAAAAATGAACGAAAATCCAATCGAAGTGGATAAGGAGAGGGTTAAGGAGCCTAAATAAATGGCCAGAGAACTTCACAGGTAATGTCGACGCTGAAAGAGACCTGGTTCTCGAAGCGACAGGTGTCGGTCCAAATAACGCGCCTCTTCGAGTTTCTCGTCCAAGATCCGGGCCTGATGCTCGACCAGCTTCTCCCGCCGTTCCACTCTCGCTTCCCGATCATCCAGGATTCGCGTTCTGATGTCATTCCTCTCACGACCCTTAAGGAGTTTCTCACCGAGGTGTACTAGGTCGAGGTCGGCCGAGTTCGCGGGTGCTTGCACAATCTTGGGCCGGCTCCGGGGCTGTTGCTGGGCGGCACTCTCTTTCAATTGAGGCTTCACAGTTCGCTTGCTTGATTGTTTGCTACTTGCTGGGATTACCTCGACATAGCCGACTGGGTATTTGCTGCGGTTGAGCTTCGAGTCTGAAGCAGGCTTGGTCGGCTTCTTGCGGTAATGAGCCCTGTAAGCGACCTCTGGCCCATTTTGCCTTGATGCGGAGTTCTGGCGATGATGAAGGCTTCCGCGCCATGATTTCGATCTTTTTGGCGCTTCGTCAATGATGTCCTCGGAGCCGTCGGTAGCTGAGCTTTCGTCCTCAAAGTCAAACAGCTCGGAATCGTCATCTCCTAGGCTGCTCGACTCAGGAGGCCACTCTGCTTCGGGCGCGGCGTGCAGACTTGACGACCGGGGTGTATAAGTTTTATTCGCTTTGGTTTGATTATGGATTTCTGGCCTCATGAAGGGTTGATCCGCATGATGATTGACTTGATTGGGACCAAGACCACGATCATGGCTCTGAGGATGTCCATTAGGAGCAACTGGGATAATCCGGATACCCGGATTTTGTGGCTGAAATTGAGGATTGTTGCCTGGTTGAGGTACCCCGTGATGCTGTATTTCTGGTTGTTGGTGCAATGGCCATTGCGTCTGTTGATGGTGCTGCTGCCTTGCATCAGCGTGACCCTGGGGAGGGAAATGTAGTTGCTGGTACGCATGCTGAGGATGTTGCTGCGTTTGATTCGTGTTTGCTGGCATCTGTGCATGGTTGATAGCCGGTTCACTCCATTGGCCATTTATCTCGACAATTCTCGGCCTACGCACATCTTCTGCCATGAAGTTGTTGGGATCGACAGGGTGCTCCTCCCTGGGTTGGGGATAAGTCTGGCCATCCCCGGGTTCGACCGTCACCGGCCTTCTCACAATCACCACATCCATCGAGAGCGTTTCAAAATCACCCCGACGAGCACCCTTGCCTTTGACCGGCTTGAAATCTTCCTTGATGTACGCGCAGGTCCATTCAAATCGAGGGTCACTGCGTCTGTGCTCATTGATTAACTGATCCACATGGTTTCGTTTCACTTTCGATAGTGCTTGATATTGCTCAACAGCAGTAGACTTCTTTGCTCGCTTCTGCACCAACTGAAACAGGTCTGCCTGGCTCAAGTTCATCCTTGTTTTCTCGACTTGGTTCCAAGTGGACTTTTGGCCGGGTGCTGCCTCGGCCTTGAAGAAGGTGTACCCAATGTAATAGTATGGAGAACGCGTGTGTTCTCTGATGGGTTCGGAGTGACCTGTTTGCTGGTAGCTTTGGGCAGACCTTTGGGGGTCCACATGAAGCTGATCCATTTGGTCCGCCAGATATGCAGGATCTATCTGGCCAGGAACACGGTGCTGAATGATGCGAGGGTCCTCGTGCGGATGAGCTGGTGGGTGATGAAGAGGAGGGACAGGCGGGCCCATATTTTGATTGACGATCACCATGGTCTGCAGAAGAGTACTTTCTGTACCAGCACCAAGACGAGAGTACAGTCAGAGGTAAGGGAAGAGTCTCCAGGCTAATACAACATGTAGGGGTCAAACAAGGAATACCAGAGTTGAGGGCACTTAATGGCATATACAGATGATGATGAGACCATAAACATCAAGGCTAATGGAAAGGACACAGAGACATCTTTAAGCTCCAGGCAGAAGTAGGACCTGGAGGGGCTCTTTCGGCCTTTTCAATGCAAAAAGGCCGCTGCTGAGTGACCACTCAGGTTTCAGGGTGTGAAGTTTCCATGCGCTTCTGCCTTGCCATTTGATCTGGACACTCTTCACACGCGACAGAAAAGGTTTTCGACCCTTGAGGGGATGAACTCATGCGCAAGTCCCCCTGGTCAGGTGGATGATTCGTCGATGATAAGAAAATAATGACCAGAGGTGCCGCAGAGCTGCATCTCAGGCACAGAAACACGACTGTAATGGGGCGCAGGATGTGCCCGGGCAAGTCTCCTGCGAAGGTCTGGCCTGGTTGCTGAGGCTGTTCCTCCTGGTCGTGGAGGCCTCAGCCGCAAAGCAGTGGCTGTGCAGAAGACATAGTACAGAGTAGAATCAGGGTCCAATCGAGGACATCCCTCAATGTTGGTCTAGCTCAGAGAGTAAGCAAAACATGATTTTGATGTACGGAATACGATGTTGGGGATATAGATGATTCATCCTGTTCGCTGCGGATGCCGTGTACCACCGTGCAGCTGCATCACCGCCGGTCTCCAAAACAATGAGTTGCTTTTTCCACGAGGCTCTGCTAGAATTGCAGCCTAGTCTGCCTTACAACGTCACCTACCCCCAGTGTTGGATTTTGTTTTGGTGATGGTGCCTTCGTTCTGTGACTGGTGGATGGGAACATGCAAGTAGGGAGGATTGAGCACTCCGTGCCGCTCGATCCTGCAGCCAAGAGACGCTCAAAGCAGGCACCATCGCGCCTTTGTGCAGTCATTCTCATCAGCCATCCACAATGCATACTATCATGTTTTAAGTAACTAGTCTACTCCGTAGTTACTGTATCCTTGCCTTTTGACTTGCAGTGGTAATCAGTAATAACCATGCAAGTCCCACAGGCCACATGTCAAGTGGATATGCTTCTTTGTTTCTGCAGTCTTGTTGACTTGCTTGAAGATACCGAATACCTGCAGGGCAAGTCATCCATGATTACTGTGGCTTGAAAGGAGTCTTTTTTTTGGCCCATTTTGATTGAAAATATCGCTCATAGTTCCCAGTCATCGAATAATTATGTGGCAGGGGTGGATGGCTTTTGGCCTCTGGTTATGTTGCCCTGGCGTGCAGAATTTACCCTTTTTTTGCCGTGAAAGACTGAGACACGCCTCGTCATCCTGTCAGTTGATTATTTTATATAGCTTAGAAAAACTCGGCTGGACTGTGATTTAAGTGAAGCAGCAATGCTGGCCTCAAATCAGTAGTGATTTGATGTCTCGTGTGTGGTCTTATTGCGAAATATATCGTGGCGGGGACACTACTAGTAGGGCTTGGAATTAAGATGGGCACAAACAGGACTCTGTAGTTGTCCTCGATAATCCTAACACTTAAACAATTCCTGCCAAAAACTAAAGCCCCTGATTCACAGATGACCCCTTTGACGTTGTCTTCCTGGTTACGGAACCGGATGCCTTTTGGAGGCCAACAAAGATTGAGTTAGAATAGTTCCATGACAGGGTCTCTTTGTCATGCAATATCCGAATCGAAACGCTCCCTTGTCTTTCTAGTGCTGAGATATTTATCAGTTGGAGACTGCAACAAGAGAGTACCATGTTCTGTGAAACCGCTAAAGAGCTGAAGAGTGTCCAAAGAGCCCTTTCAAATTGTCAGAGGACAATGACTTCCATATGAGAAGGGCATCTCCATATCCGCAATCTCTTTGTCTAGAACTCAGGGAAATTTCAACATGAAACCCTTTGTTGACACTGCTTATTTCGTTTGTCGGGTTAATGTCTTTATCAACCACAACATTGAGTATTGCCCTTTGTCACTGAACAATGGACCAACGTCCGGCCCGTGATAACTTCATCAATCTTCTATTTTTGGACTGCAGCATAGACGATCTGAAAGCAATCTATGGAGGTAGACATGCCTTTTCCAGGGTATATAGCATACGCATTTCCCGCGTATGACTGTGGGAAGATTCCAGAAAACATCACTCTAACGTTGACTCTTTCTATTTATACAACCTTTTCAGCTTTTGCATATGCTAGGATGTCAGATTCAAACAACACCCCAAAAGAAGCTGCTGCAGGTAGCCCAGGCCTCAGGTTCGACAGCTACACCCCACGCGGCGTCACCCCAAGGGGAGATGCACTTTCATACGCCAAGAACAGTCCGGTCTTCAATCCTGACGACTCTGGGACGGACGGAACAAATGGGACGAATGGAGCAAATGGCACAAATGCGAATAATGCAACGACTGCAAACAATGCGACAAATCCGAGCGTTGCCCCAAATGATACAGCCGGGAGCGACATGACTGACTCGGATGGTGTTGGTGCTACGGCCAATTTGGGCATAGACCCTCAGAGAATACCTGCTGATACCCGCCGGTTCGACAAGATTATTCCCCTTCTCATTCAGCCAGAGAGTGCGGTTTCAGAAAGATTCCCACTTCTTCATCGAGTCATTGCGGGCCGACTGAAGACAAGCCTGTATCTGAGGGGAGGACAACGAGTCTCCCGGTGCTCTCACAAGTACGGCCTAGGCGCGGCCGCTCTGAACCAGACCAAAAAACACAGACCTGACAGCCATACCTTTCAAACGAAGGTTGCAAGGTCCATAGAGCGATCAAGGGGTGGGCGCGAAACTGTCAACGCAAGACTCCACGGTATGTGCCAAAAGCTTCGTCGGAAGGTGAGACTGTCTGGTTGCATTGGTTCTGGAGGTATGTCCACCTGTTTCTTCTCTGCGGGTTGATTCGTCTTTGACTAGTAGCTAATGACCTGACATAGGCTTCGGCACCGTGTTCCTTGCCCACAAAAACACTCCTCATGGACAGGCTAACTTTGCCATCAAGGTTAACGACCATAACACCATTGCGGCCATGGGTGATGGGTCACATGTAGCCGAAATGATGTTCTTTGAAGAGGGTGGAAAAGTTCGTTATATACCGTGTGAAGCAATGATCATGCTCTTATTGACTCGCAGCCCAAGGTTTCCAACCCTCCACTCTGTCTATACTGAGAAGGACAAGGTCGCGATTGTCATGTCCGCTTGTATCGATTACGATACACTCCAACTCTCAAAGGGAATGAAAGAGACGGACCAAGTCTGGGCTATTGAAGGGGGCCATCTCCGCACTCGTGAAAAGGAGCCAAGGTTGAATGAGCTTCAGGCCTGCAAGGTGTCGACGCAGCTCTTGGAAGCAATCGCTTACCTCCGTGATATGAGCATCACGTATGACGACATGTCCTATCGCAATTACCTCGTGGACGAGAATCTTGACGTAAGTAAATTTCAGAATTTCAGTTCTGTTGAAGATGCAAGGCTTGCTTTTCTTCTGTTGCTTCTTTTTTCCCTCCCCAAGATTCGTCTCCGATTTCCCTAAAGTTGACCCTCAGGGCCTGGCTAACAGTCTCTTCTTGGATACAGACACAACTGATCGACTTTGGAATAATGGGCTTTGGGCTGGATGATCGTGACTTCCTGGAAAACTCCCACACCTACGTATTTTGGCAAGAATATCTACTGCCTCCAGAGGTTGCAATCGAGTTGCTGAAGCCCCAATGGCGCGTCCATGTCAGAAACACAGCCCGTGGAATCGCACAAGTCAAATGCAGAAACGATACGCGTCAAACCGCACTCTGGAATTATGCAGTGGAGGTGTTTTGTTTGCTGCACGGATACGCACCCTGGGAGGATCCGGAATGGGACGATGAGATTAGGACCATTGGCGAGTTCGCTTGCAGGTTTATCGATGGCCGTTGGCAGGAGCCTCCCGAACTATACGACGAAGGACCCGTTGGGACGCAGCTTATGCCAGACGGAAGCGAATGATCAACGAGGAATTGGCTGTCCGGGAGGATTTGTCGCAGGACTGCGTGGACGCGCTGCGAACGATGCTCCAAAGGGACCCAAAGCAGCGACCAAGACTCAGCGAGCTGATTTCGTTTCCTTGGTTCGGCCAATGGGCTTGTCACGGTGACAAATTGTTCAGGCGACCAGATATACCTCGCGAGTATTTCGTCTAGCGAAGTTGGATGTGCATTTCACCAGATCCCGCGTAGAATGCGTGATAGACTTCCCTTTTTCGGCGAAAAGTATACAGGCAAGCGTTTCATTTCACCGGTGATGTATGACTGTGACGAAGTTGTTTCCTCCCAGCTAATTTTAGTTTTTCCTCATAGAGATCCATGACTCGATTACATCAGATCATTTTCAACCTAGTGTGCGAGCCGTACTGTAAGTAGACCTCCGAATGCTGACAAAACCACAGGACCTCTGATAAAAGGAATTATTGACATTCGTAACTCATTAAGGATATCCCCAGTACCCCATCTAGCAATAGAAACATATTCCTAAGTGGATATTCGTATAGGCGTAAGGGAGGAATTTGGTCGAGTCTCGTATCGTTACCGCCGAAGGCTGTCCAGCCTGGCCTGAAGATCGTCATCGCTGGCAGTCCCACCACCGGCTCCAACCGCTTCGGCAACTCTGGTCTCGCCAACCGCTGTCTTCTGAATATCTGACGGGGTTTCACCCAGCTGTGGTAGAAATGTCAGTAAAGCGCAAGAATGAGAACTAGCCCGCTGGATGGACCTACCGCCTGGTTGAGGTCAACACCAATTTCATCCAGAACTTCCTTCACGATGTCTTCGCCTTCCTCTTCCTCTCCTTCTAGACCTGTAGCCTCGTCTATGGCATCGTCCATCATTTCTTGCCGTTGGTCCATTATATCGTTCTCTCGTTCAAACTCCATCGCAATCCGCTGAAGCGCGGGGAGGTTCATCTGGCGATTCATGCTTCCTAGAAGCATCGTGGCTCCTTTCATAGACTGCATCATCTGTTCATTGCTTCGGACGGTCTGTATGTCACTGTCAGCGCACTGATCCGCCAGATCTCAAACAGCTGCCGTACCTGAATACGGAGGGAAATGGCCTGTAACTGCGTCCGCATTTGATAGAATTTCTGGATGTACCTAATCGCAAGTGACAAATTAATCAAGAGATACAGTGAAGGAAAAAGATTGGAGTCATGCTATACATACCTCCTCGTCCGAACCAGATCCTTCGCTTGGATCTTGCAGGCTCCGATTTGGCCATTTTTGGCGCTCTTTTTAATGTCTTGAATCAGCTTCTTCTCCTGATTTTCCAACTTGACTCGTTCCCGGTCTAGTTCTCGCTGCGTCCGATCGAGCGCTCTTTGGTGCTTGCGCAGACGCTCTGCTGGCGTCATGCGCTTCCCGAATGCCCACTCGACGATCTAGAAGAGTCCTGTAAGTGGGGAACAAGAGGTAGTGTGGTGTACCACGTACATTCATGATGAGCACGACAGATCTATGTAGCGATTGAAGACAGCGGCTAAAGTAAATGTGCCACCTGACAAACGGCAATTGTTATGCGCAGCAGTATGTTTATCAGATGGAAGCCTGCGGTGAATATGATGCGGTGACATCAACCCACTTAAGCAGAGGCTGGGTAACGAGCAATAATACGCGGCCATTATTGATTACTGCGGGAGGGAGTCACATGCTGCCGCCAGCCCCTTTCGGGCCTAGTTCAACGCCTGCCGTCATGAAATTTCCCGGTGGAACCATCACCGTCACCTAAACCCCGTTCTGCCAAACACCCTTCCATCCTGTTATTCTCGAATTCGATGCAACGCACACGATATTCGTCATGAGTCAGGAGTATTTCCCCGGCAAGGGCGCATCGGCCGGAGAGGGATCCTCTCGGCACCCTCCCGAGGATGTTCCCTCGGAGAACAACCCTTTTTATCCACGACCCCCGCCTACATACATGACTGTCGGGAATGGGTCGACGTCTGAGAGCGCCACGGCTCTCATGGCTTCGTTGAATGCGGATTCGGGTTATGGAGGAAGTATCCCGAGCGGAAGTGTGATGGATGGTGATGAGGGAGCTGGGTGGCGAGCGGATTTGATGGTTGATAAACCGACGCCGGTGCCTACACCTCCTGGTACGAGTAATTGGAATCCAGCTGGTTCGTGGTTCTGTTCATGTTGGGATGACAAGGGGGTGCAATTGGAGCATTGTTACTGACGTGTGGTTGATACAGCCGAGCATGAGAAGCAGGTTATTGCCAGCCATGTTCATCAACTACTCTAGTATGTGCGGACAAATTAGCTACAACTCGTTTTGAGAAGCTGACAAGTCTTCTTTTCAGTAACTCGAATCGGACGAAACTCGGGCGTGCGATTTCCCGGACGATTGAAACGTTGAAGGAGCTTCAGGATATGAACCGCCAATGGCCAGCACACTATCCATCTGTACAGAGCGCTCCGGGTAGCCCCGGCTCGGATTCGCAGAGACCCGGTTTACGACAGAGTCAGTCATATTTCGAAAGTGAACACGATCAATCGGAGCCTTTCCCCCGGCCAGGACAAATGCGACGCGCAGCCACGATGTCAGGAAGCGACGACTTGGCGGAGTCGAGTGCGGCTGCCGAACGCCGACCTACACCGGAACCAAGATTGATGAGCCCACAGATTGCGCAGGAATTCTCGATTTTGAAGTTGGATCTGAAACTCGGTGCTTTGTCACAGGCCGAGTTGGTACATTCCCTGGAGAAGGCCTCGATTGCCTCACTTTTGGACGGAAAAATCAGTCAGAGCATCAAACACCTTCTTTCTTTGCGAGACAGGATCGAGGACACATCAAGCAAGGTGCTAATTACGGGAGACTTAAATGCCGGCAAATCGACTTTCTGTAACGCTTTGCTGCGTCGCAAGGTGCTCCCCGAGGACCAGCAACCCTGCACTAGCATTTTCTGCGAGGTTCTCGATGCGCGAGAGAACAGTGGAGTCGAGGAGGTACATGCGGTACACAAGAACAAGCAATACAATCGCAACGATGAAAGTACCTACGATGTGTACTCTCTCCCGGAACTGGAAAACATCGTTATCGACAACTCCAAGTACATGCAATGCAAGGTCTATGTGAAGGACGTCCGAACGATTGATGAATCTCTTCTCAACAATGGGGTGGTGGATATCGCTTTAATTGATGCACCTGGCCTCAACTCAGACTCGTTAAAGACGACAGCCGTTTTCGCTCGGCAGGAGGAAATTGATGTGGTTGTTTTTGTGGTATCCGCCGCCAACCACTTTACTCTTTCCGCCAAAGAGTTCATCTTGAATGCTGCTCATGAGAAGGCTTACATCTTCATTGTTGTCAATGGGTTTGATCAGATTCGTGATAAGCAACGTTGCGAACGCATGATCCTGGATCAGATTGGCAAGCTCAGTCCTCGTACGTATAAGGAAGCTGCTGAGCTGGTTCATTTTGTTTCCAGTAATGCCGTCCCAGTTGCGCCTCCCATCCAGATGGAGCAATCTGGTGGTGGCAGCGGTGGAGGTTCTGATCCTCATGGAGATGATGATGACGACCAGTCTGACGATAAAGGGAAGGGCAAAGGAAAGGAGAGGGAGAAGATTCGAGATTTTGAGAACCTGGAGAGCTCTCTCAGACGATTTGTCCTGGAGAAGCGCGCTCGTTCCAAGCTCGCGCCTGCGAGAACATATCTCCTCAACCTGCTTACGGATATCAATTCATTAGCAGCTGTTAATCGCGACATCGCTCAGTCGGAACTCAAGCGCGTTACAGACGAGCTTGCTAAGCTCGAACCAGCCTATGAAAATGGCAAGAAGAAACAGATTGAGCTCGGTGATGAAGTTGAAAAGTGTATTGATGACTCGTGCGAGGATGTCTACAACCATACGCGTTCAACATTAACGGACACCATCTCGCGAGTGTCCGAGGCAGACCTAGGTGTTGAGTACCCTGGTCTGTTCTCTGCGTTCCAGTATGCTGAGGATCTCAAACTAGCAATGCTGGAGCAGATCGCTACATCCGTCGCCGATTGCGAGGACTATGCGCGGGCAAAGTCTGTTCAAGGAGTGGGATTCATTCAGAACATTGGTCTGCTACATGTTGGAGAGGACAAGTTCGCTCCATTGAACTTCCGTGCTGATGCAATGTTCCGCCGTGGTCGTCGCCACACCCTAGCTAGACAGGTCGACACTGAGGTGGAGATCTGGGACTTCTTTGATATTACCGGGTTGTGGGAACGGCAGGAGAAGATGGCTGGCACTGGAATTGCCATGACTGCCGTGACAGTCCTCGGTGGTCGAGCCTTCGGAGGCAGCTGGGTAGATAGCATGTTCAGTGCCGCCAAAATCCTTGGGCCTAACAACTTGCGGCGTCTCCTCCTACCTGGTATCGTCGCTGCTGGTAAGTTCCGTGTCGTCTTCAATTCTGCTATACGCGATTTCAAGCTAACTTCAACAGCCGTCTTGACCACTGCGTACATGCTTTCTTCAATCCCGCATACACTTCCCCCTCGTCTCTCGCGCAAGCTTGCCGCTACTCTGTCCGAAATGGACTACGTGCACTCCAATGCCACTCGTATCTCGACTGAGGTCCGCCGCATCCTCCGTATACCCGCCGGCAATCTGCAGACCAGCCTCGCTCAAGGCATTGAGGACCTCGGAAGACGTAAGCAGGAGGTCAGCAAGACGAAGCACGAGAGCGAGGTCGCAAGTAAATACTTCTCAAATCTCTTCCGGGATAGTGGAGAGAACCGACGGTCCGTTGAGAATATTGATCTTGACGCCCCCTTGCCTGGAGGCCTGCCCGCCATTCAAGGTTGAGCCTTGTCTGTACAAACATTATGACGCTACATGAATTTCGCCCTTCCTTTCCCCTGTTTGACTCATGTCATTGCATTTTCTCCTTCCCTTCTCACACATCTTCCGCTTGTTCAAAGTCCTGTACAATCTTTCCTTGTCCGCACCCATTTCCCTGGGGTTCTGAAAGAGTTCTCCTTCGCTATACAGTCTCTATGGCTGATGAATAGCGTAGCGGCCGCTCTTCATTCCACCTTTGCTTACTAGATATCCCCAACGGCGTACCCTTGAGCCCTTTGTTTATTATAAAATGTACCTGATTTTACCTCTAATTTGAGAATCCTTCTCTGTCTCTTATAACAATGGCGACTCTGCATTGCTCGTTTGCTCACTGTAGATAAGGTCGTATGAGCAATATCCCGAATATCAGTCACGGTGTACGTGGCTTAGGACTAGTAATACTCTCGCCTAATGCACATGGCGAGGCACCTTTTAAGCTTCAGAATGATACATACCCACTATTATTGAAGCCAACAATGTTTATGCATCAAATCATGAGAGGAAAATATCCGCAGGCCGTTGACACTATCGGTGTGAATCTTGATGTCCCAAATCTTGAGTGAACAAAAGACGCCATTATACCATGCAATGCACCGGACAAACCAAAAAATAGACACCAAAAGCGATGCAAAGCTCATATAAAATCAGATCAGATCATGAACCTCATTTACAACTCGTTTTCAGAATCCTTAACCGCGTTCCTCGTCCTTCGACCGGTTCCCCAGCCAACATCCTCCAGTTCCCTGACCTCACCAACAACCACGCCCTGATCGGCAGATTTATCTTCATTGGAGAGCTTGCCAGCGTGGCTAAAAAGCTTTTCGCGCATTTTGACGGCATCTGGATCCTCGTAGTTCAGCTGCGTCATTGCAGGCTCTTCATTCTCTTCTTCCTCGACGCGACGTTGTGATTCCGAGGGCTCGAATCGCCCGCCTGCAAGGAACGAGTTGAAACACTCTGTGTTGATGCTTTCCACGGCACTGCCGCATCCGTCTTCGTTGAGCGTGTCGATTGAGCTGGCGCGAGAGAAGACGCCCTGTGCGGAGGAGTGTGATGGTGCTCGTCCGAGGAGCGGTTTCCGGCGCCTTCGACGGAGGCTATCGCTTTCCTGGTCTGTTGTATCGGATTTTGAGCGCGAGTTTGCTGCTCGTGCTTGCTTGAGAAATCCGCTTACGGCGAGTTCGATTGCGGATTGCGCGGAGGTTGTGCCACTGTCTGATGCTTTTCGCTTGTTTGAGGGCGAGGCTGTGGTTGTTGGTTTGGTTTCTTTGGCAGGTGAGACTGATGCTGACTGTGATGGTCGTTTGTATGGTAGTGGTGGCTTCACTAATTCATCTTCGCTACTGGGTTTGGACGACTTCTCAACAGGAGTGCCCTTGGTGGACCCGTTCATACCATATTTCTTTGATTCCGTAGTATGGGAGTCTGGCTGCGCAGTCCTGTCGGGCTTATCAGATGACTCGGATAGATGTTTCTGCTCTGTGCGAGAGCCGGCTCGCACTTCCAAGCTCTTTTCAGGTTGCGACGACCTCTGGATAATATATGGTTCGAATGCCTTTCTCTGTCCTGATTTGATGGAGGACCAGAGCCAATCTACTGTGACAGCTGGGATCTTC